GAATAGTAGTAAATAACAATGTTACAAGGGGAAAAAATATTTTTATATTTATAGATAGGTACGCGACTTTTAGTATTTCGTAAAAATATCAAAAATAATGATTTTTTGAATTTTTTTTCGTCTGCGCTTACAAAAAATTTAAATTTTTCTATCCGGAATTTTTTCTATGATTTTTTAGCATTAAATAGAAGCTTTTAAAGCCCGCGGCCTTTAAAAAAAAGAAAAAAAATTTTTTCGGCCCACCCTACTGTATAGTAACCGTCATATATCTCGCATGAATGTTTTCTATTTATTATCATTAAGGGAGAAGAGTGCGAGCTTAAAATGATGTAGCCTTTTATCTGATTTGCATGAATAATTTTAAAAAGGCATTGTATTTTATTTTTCATTTACGGGATATTGACAATGTATCTTAAGGAAAATTGTTGTTATAGACAAATTTTCCAATATCAACTATATATAGTGCATAATTTAATGAAAAAGTTGATGATATTAAAAAGATTTTTTTACATAATAATTTAAAATCGATTTAATATTATTGCAATAAGTAAAAAGTTCAAACCATTAACACAATAATTGATCTCTTGAGTCTACACACCCTAACTGGGCACCCTTTTTTTTGACCTTTTTTTAAAAAATGTATTGAAATTTTGTAGTAACGTGTTTTACTATTAGTGTAGATTAAATGTGCCTTAAGATATCATTTGACATGAAACCATTTAACATAAATTTCATTTGACATAAAAAATTTTAAAAAAATTCTTTTTAAAATTTCAATTTTCTTTATAAATAATAAAATTCATCTCCAAAATTCAATTATTTCCAAAAAATTTCAATATCTATTATTTTCATAATATTTTCCAAAAGAATTTAATTATTTAAATAAAATTTTGATAAAATTCTACTCAAACATTTAATTATTTTCTAAAATAAATAAAATTTCACAAAAATTCAATTATTTACGAATTTGTTTTATAAATTTCTTTGCAATAATTCCATTATTTTCATAAATACTAAATTTTTACAGGGATTCAATTATTTTTATGAATAATAAAACTTATTGCATTCAATTATTTTAATTTTAATATAATTTTAATCGAAGTCCTCGAAAAATGTGATTATTCTTAAAAATTTTATTAAAATTTGTCGAAAGAATTCAATTATTTAAAAATTTGTTGATAAAATAATGATCAATAATTTAATTCTTTAAGAGAATTCAATTTTAAGAAAGATTCAATTGTTTAATAAATTATTTATTTTTCTATTTAAATAATTGAATTCACGTTAAATTTTCTAATAAAAATTGATTAAAAAATGAATTTTAATTAAAATTTTAAATAATCATTAAATATTAAAAGCTTATAGCATGAATTTTTTTAAAGAAATAATTGAATTTTGAAAAAGTTCCAAATTAAATACTTTGAGAATCTGAATTTTTCATACTTTTCAATAAAAAATTCTGTATTAGAAGTAATTTTTTTGAAAAAATTTAATTATAATTTTTTTGAAATTTGTTGATTTTTTTAATACAATTTTAATTAAATTCCTCGAAAAATCTAATTATTCTTAAAAATTTTACTAAAATTCGTCAAAATAATTCAATTATTCACTTATTTTTCAATTATGTTAAGCTTTGTTGATAAAGTTCTTTATGAGCATTCAATTTCAAGAAAGATATAATTATTTAATAAATTATTTATTTTTGTATTTAAATAATTAAATTCTTGTTAAATTTTCTAATAAAAATTAATTACTGTCACAAAATTTCGCTTCTCACTGCATGGAAAGTCTGATCGCCCGCCACTGGGTGCGTAGCATTACCGTTTTCGATAGACAAACTTCCCAAAAAGTTTAGAAAATTACAACTGGGTACGTTGGTCACCCAGTTTGGGAGTGCAGATGAACAAGTTTAGTGGTGGCGCTGACGCATAAGCTTCGGGTGAGCAGACTGCTTAAAGGTTTTTCCGTGTAACAATTCTGTAGAATTAATTTTTTTTCAAATGCCTAAATGAATTTTTTTTAAAAATTATTTGCAGTTTTTATTTTCTGATAGTTAATTAAGTGAAGAATTTCCAAATAATTGAAATTTCGTAAAATTAAATTGTGAAAAAAATGGATTTGAAAATTCTCAAAGAACTTTTTAAAAAATTATTAAAAAAGAATTGTTTTAAAGAAGAATTTTGGTTAAAAATTATAGAAAATAATAATTGAATTGAAATAATGAAAATAATTTTGAAGACGCAGGGCTCGGATTGTGCGACTTTTTCGACTTTTTTGTGAAAAAATGCGACTAATCGACTTTTTCGAGATTTTTTTTAGTAAAATGCGACAGAAATTTAAAAAAAAAATTTTAATTTAAAGGAAAAAGTTTGAGTCAAAAAAATGTTCTGTTACATTTATTTACAAATTTCTTTCAAATTTTTCGAAAACATCAATAATTTCTTTTTTAAATAAAATATTTAATTATTATTTTTCCATAGGAATTAAAATTTTTCAAAAGATTCAAATTCAAACCTATTTGAAATTAAACAACTTATAAAAAATTGTTATAAAACATGAAGAAATCGATCACTCCGAGTCTTCGACTTGGAGCAATCGATGTCTTCATGTTTTATAATAATTAAAGATGACCGAGTGATAAAACCATTATATTTTATATTAATATTATATAAGACTTTATAAGAAAAAATTTTTTAATTATTTTTTATGAAAATATTTGAATTATTGGGAACAAATTTATAAAGCATTAGTAAGTAATTGAATTTTGCAGAAGAATTTTGATATTTACAAAGATAATTGAAATTTTGAGGAGAATTTAAAAGAAAATTTGAAAATAATTGAATTTCTGTAAAGAATTTTCTTACTTTTTGAAGATAATTGAATTTTGCAAAGAATTTTATCAGAACTTTTGAAAATAATTAAATTTTTATGATGAATTTTATTATTTATAAAATTTTGAATATAATTGAATTCCTGCGAAGAATTTTATTACTTTTGAAAATAATTGAATTTTAGAGAAGAATTTTATTAAAATTTTTTTTAAATAATTGAATTTCGTAGAAGAATTTTATTATTTATAAAAATAATTGACATTTTAAAGAGAATTTAAAAAAAAATGTTAATAATAGGGGAGAGTGGTCCTAAGTTGGCCGCCTAAGCAAATTGGTCGAAAATAGTAACAAAATGAAATTTAATCACTTCGGCAAGTATATATTAGTGTTCAGAGATCGTTTTGCTATAATTTTGTGGTATTTAGAACGTTATAGAATGACTTTTGTAGTCTTAATACAATAAATCGTGAAAAGCTGCATTTTGGACACTTCAGAAATAGCGGTCCTAAGTTGGCCACCCTCTAGACCTAAGTTGGCCACCACTTTTTTTCGCTTGAGTATAAGGAAGAAATGCATATTCTTTTCAATTACGCAGAAATTTTACAAATTTGATACATTTAGGAGAATAGAAACGCATTATTTAACTATTTTTGTTTAGAAAATGAAGCAATATTTTATTTCATTTATTTACAGTGGTGGATGGCTGTAGAGACAGGCGTTTTTGTACTTCATTTTTTCTAATGTTTTTTAAACCATTTTTTTTTGTTTTTTGTCTTTGTTTAATTCCTACGTTACACTTTTACGGTCTTTCTCGTGATAAAAAACACAAAAAAGAAATAAAACATAAATAAAAACAAACAAAAACAATAGGTGGCCAACTTAGGACCACTGTAGATTTTTACAAGTTTCAAATTATTACGCTAATAAAAAAAATTTATTTAAAAAATCAACAGAACCTCTTATTACAACATTAAATAAAGGAACTAGCGCACACACTTATTTAGAAATTTTTAATTATTTATCTCTTGTAGCTGCTCTCGAAAAAACAAGAAAAATCAAATTTTTTTGGTCAAAAACAATATTATTGTCCTCACAATGCGTAGAAGAATCTTAGATTATAATTAGGTCCATAAATTATATCATGGTTTATCAATATATCATACCACAAAATTATAGATTCGTCCAGTATACCATCTCTGAGAAATGCAGGGTGGCCAACTTAGGCCCACGGCCAACTTAGGACCACTCTCCCCTACATAATTAAAATTTTGCTATGAATTTTATTAAATTTTTTAAAATTATATTCCGGATTGTTTGATATTAATGTATCTGTTGTCGAGAAATGTGATTTTTTTACAATTTTGACAATTTTGTGTTTTCTTTTTGTCGTTTTTTTGATTTTTTCTAATATTTCATGCGACTTTTTTTCGACTTTTTCGGAAATTTTATGAGACTTTTCGTGACTTTTGTTGTAAATTTATGCAATTAAAGCGACTTTTTTGAGTCTTAAAGTCGATCCGAGCCCTGAAGATGTTACAGTAACAATATTCTTATAATAAAAAATAATTATTTTTTCGCTCGGTCATTTTTAATTATTATGAAAAATGAAGTAGTCGATCACTCCGAGTCTTCGACTTGGAGTTATCGATATCTTCATGTTTTACAGTTGTGAAAAAATTTAATTTATAGTTTTAAGTCAAATTTTCTTTTTTTTAACTCGGACTGGTTATATTTTTGTCAGTAATTGGTCTGTAATTTTTAATTTTTGGCCTAAAAGTTCGTATTATGTATAATGACTTATGTAAAATGAAATTGTTGTCACGTAAATTCTATGTCAAATGTTACTCATAATAAATAACTTTTCCGTCAAATTAAATTTATGTCAAATGAGAATTATGTTAGACTTTTATGTGAAATAAAATTTATGACAAACGAGTTTCATACAAAATTAAATTTATGTCGAATGAATTTTATATCAAATGAAATCTACTTTAAATAAATTTTATGTCAAATTTATTAAATATAAAAATGTAACGTTACTATAAAGTTTCTCAATAAATTGGGTGAAAAATGTCCAAAGGGATACTTCACTTGACGTGTTTCGACTCTAATATTTTAAATTTCTTCTCAAAATGAAAAATATTAATGCGAATGGTATTCTTTTTATAGATTGTACCAAACCTCGTGAGAATTTTGAAGAATTTAATTCACGCTGGATATTCCCCTGAACATGACGTTTCAGGAGTATCGGATCCATTTCTCCAAGTGAAAATTTTACGACTCTTGAGGATTTTGGGACACAATGATGTGAACGCCTCCGAAGCAATGTACGACATTCTTGCTCAAGTCGCGACAAACACGGAAACAACGAAAAACGTTGGCAACACAATATTGTACGAAACAGTCCTGTCGATCATGGACATTAAATCTGAGAGTGGGCTGCGTGTATTAGCTGTGAATATCTTGGGCAGATTCCTGCTCAATAATGACAAGAACATTCGCTATGTTGCTTTAAATACGTTACTAAAGACAGTCTACGTTGACACCAGTGCAGTTCAAAGACATCGTTCGACAATATTGGTAATAAAGAGTTTCTACTTTTAATCATTTTATTTTTGTACATGTATTGAATAAAATGTTTGATTCCTCTGCAGGAGTGCTTGAAGGATCCTGATGTGTCGATAAGGCGTCGGGCAATGGAGTTGAGTTTTGCTCTCGTCAACACCAGTAATATTAGGAATATGATGAAGGAATTACTTCTTTTCTTGGAACGTGCTGATCCTGAATTTAAAGCTCAATGCAGCAGTAATATCGTTATGTCTGCAGAGAGATTTTCACCTAATAAGCGATGGCATCTTGAAACTTTATTTAAAGTTCTTGTTGCTGTAAGTATATGCAAGTGATAACATATTAATAAAACTACAGGGCTCGAACTAGGACCGCAAATACTGTAAAGCTCCGTAAATTTTATTCAAGTCACTAAAAGTCATTTTTTTTTGAAAACAGATTTTCTTGGGAAAAGACGAAAAGTTCGTAATTTTGTAGGATATAATTTGGAGAATTTTAGAGAAGTTACAAGTGATTATAGAAATTCAATTATTATAAAATTCTTCGCAGAAATCCAATTATGTTCAAAATTTTTTTAAAAATTCTCGACAGAATTTCAATTATCTTCAGAAATAATTAAATTCTTCTCCAAAATTCAATTAATTTTAAAAATTGTAATACAATTCTTAACAAAAATTCAATTATTTTCAAAAATTTTCCATAATTCAATGATTTTTTTTGTCCGTAAAGTCCATATTTTAAAATACTTTCACTGGTTCGAGCCCTGAAATCCTGGAAAATTGTTGTTTTCTAAAGTTATTGTGTTTATTTTTTGAAATCTAATTTTACTTCAATATTTCAAAATTAATTCAATTTTCAGGGTTGCCACGCAACCTAGAAACCTGAAAAACCTGGAAATGTCAGGGAATTTTTATAAACGTTAATGTAGGAAATTATTTGCTGATTGAGAATTTTAATTAAGGAAGATTTCGACTATATCAGCAATTAGTGACATCTATTAGACGTCAATTGAACTCTTTGGTTTAGAGTCAGGTGTTATTCTTAAGATAATTATTCCGATATGGTTGTCGGTAAATAATTATATTTTTGAATTTAATTTTTGATCTGAAAAAATAAGCTGCGTGAACGACTGCACTGTGCATCTGTGAGGACTCGAACCCCAGTTAATAGCTGCATTTCGCGGGACTAACGCCTACCAATGCACCATGCCAACACAGCCTGGACGTTCACGTTTCTTATAATCTCAGATCAAGCCCATACACTAGTCGAAGAGCTGTATAGTTAATGTAGGAAATTATTTGCTGATTGAGAATTTTAATTAAGGAAGATTTCGACTATATCAGCAATTAGTGACATCTATTAGACGTCAATTGAACTCTTTGGTTTAGAGTCAGGTGTTATTCTTAAGATAATTATTCCGATATGGTTGTCGGTAAATAATTATATTTTTGAATTTAATTTTTGATCTGAAAAAATAAGCTGCGTGAACGACTGCACTGTGCATCTGTGAGGACTCGAACCCCAGTTAATAGCTGCATTTCGCGGGACTAACGCCTATTAATGTAAAATATAATTATTTACCGACAACCATATCGGAATAATTATCTTAAGAATAACACCTGACTCTAAACCAAAGAGTTCAATTGACGTCTAATAGATGTCACTAATTGCTGATATAGTCGAAATCTTCCTTAATTAATTTTTATAAACCTTGAAAAAACCTGGAAAAGTCAGGGAATTTTGATTGGAATCCTGGAAAATTATTGTTTTCTAAAGTTATTGTGCTTATTCTTGAAATTTAATTTTTCTTTATTTTATATTTCAATTTTCTTAATTCAATTTTAAAAGAGTTCCCTATACAATTTTTCTTCGCAATAATTCAATTATTTTTATAAATAATAAAACTCATTGCAAAATTTCAATTATTTTTAATACAATTTTAATGGAATTTCTCGAAAAATTTATAATTATTCTTAAAAAATTTATTAAAATTCATCAAAGAAATTCAATTATTTTCAAAAGTAATAAAATTCTTCGCAAAATTTCAATTGTCTTTATAAATATTAAATTTTTTCTCCAAAATTCAATTATTTTCAAAAATTTTAATGAAATTCTTTTTAACAAATTCAATTTCTTTTTCAAAAATTCTCCTCCAGTCAATGATTTTCAATATATACTATTTTTAAAAAAATTTTCCAAAAGAAATGAATTATTTAAAATTTTTTTTTATTTTCTTCGCAATAATTCTATTATTTTCAAAAATATTCAATTTATGTTTACAGAGATTCAATTATTTTTATAAATATGTAATACAATTTTTTACAGGGATTCAATTATCATTTTCGTAGATAATAAAATTCATTGCAGAATATTAATTATTTTTTATACAATTTTAATCAAATTCCTCGAAAAATGTAATTATATTTAAAATTTTATTAAAATTCGTCGAAAGAATTCAATTATTTTAAAATTTGTTGATGAAATGTTTTGTGAGAATTCAATTTTAGGAAATAATCTATTATTCAGTAAATTATTTATTTTTGTATTTAAATAATTGAATTTTAGTAGAATTTTATAAAAAAAATTGATATAAAAATGAATTTCAGTTCAAAGTTTAGATAATAATCTATATTAATAATCGTTGTATTCCGGTAATCTATTCGCATTTTAAAGTTAGATGTTGTTTACTTTTTTGTTTCGTAACTTTTTTAATTTTATAAAAAAATTAAATTAATTTAAAAATATATTAAAAATAATTGAATTTTTGCAAAGAATTTTACTATTCATAAATATAATTAAATAATTGTTTCGAAGGATTTATTAAAATTTTGTTTAAAAATAATTGAGGTTTTGTAAAAAATTCTACTACATATTTATAAAAATAATAATTGAATTCTTACCAAGAATGTTATTATTTATGAAAATAATTGAATTCTTGCCAATAATTTTATTAAAATTTTTGAAAATAATAAAGAAGAATAATTAATTAGTAAATTAGTTAATTAATTGAATTTTTTAAAAGTTTGAATCTGAAATTATTCAAAAATTCATATTTGAAAATAAAAAATTTTGTAATTTGCATAATAATAATAATAAATTGAATATCACGTTTCGCGCGTAACATTTGCTAGTTAAATATTAAAAGCAATATAGTTTAAATTTTACCAAGTTGAAGTCTACAACGTTGATCAACGAAAAAAAATTGCTCACTTAGTAAATTAATTAAAAATGACGCAGCAATATTGACACAAAAATATTTAGAAAAGAAAGATTGATGTTTATATTTTGATAATAATTATTTAACAATTAAATATTAAATTAAAAATTATACTTAATAGCATTAGATAAATTTTTTTCGTTGATAAACGTTGTGAACTTCAACTTCGTTAAATTTTTAGAAATAATTCAGTTTTGAAATTATGTTTTTTGAAAAAGTTTAATTGGATTTTTTTATATTATTTGAAATTTTTTTTTTCTAATATATATTTAATTGGAGAATTTACGAATAATTGAAATTTCGTAAAATTAAATTTTAAACAAATGGATTTCAAAATTGTCAAAGAACTTTTTTGAAAATTATTAAAAATATTCGATTTAAAGAACAATTTCAGTTAAAAATTCTCGAAAATAATAATAAAAATGTTTTATGGTTATGAAAACTTTAATTTATAGTTTTTGAAGTAAAATGTTCTCTTCAAGGTTACCACCGGACCTTGCAAACTTGAAAACCTTGAAATGGACGTGAATTTTGTCAAACCTTGAAAAAACCGTGAATTGGACGTGAATTTTTTTAAAAACCTTGAATTTTAGTATTATATATTATTAAAACTGAAAAACAAAATTTTTTGACCATTTTCAAAATTTTATTTTTTGAAAAAATTGAAATTTTTCAGGGTTGCCACAAAAATCAGGGAATTCAGGGAAAAGTCAGGGAAAGTAAAATTAGTCAGGGAAGTCAGGGAAAAGTCAGAGATTTTTATTTAAGTAACTGGAAAAAATTGAATTTTAGAGAAGTTACAAATGATTGCAGAAATTCAATTATTTTCAAAAGCAATAAAATTCTTCGCAGAAATTCAATTATGTTCGAAAATTAAAAAAAATTCTCATAAAAATTCAATTATCTTTAAAAATAATAAAATTCTTCTCCAAATTTCAATTATTTTCAAAAATTTTAATAAAATTCTTTGCAAAATTTCAATTATTTCCAAAAAAATTTTCTCAATTCAATGATTTTCAATATCTACAGTTTTAATAAAATTTTTCAAAAGAATTCAATTATTAAAGAAAAAATTTTGATAAAATTCTAAGCAAACTTCGCAATAATTCAATTATTTTCATAAATAATAACATTTTTTACAAAAATTCAATTATTTTCATAAATAATAAAATTCATCATAGAATTTCAAGTTTTTTTAATACAATTTCAATTGAATTCCTCGAAAAATTGTATTATTCTTGAAAATTTTATTAAAATTTCTCGACAAAAATCAAATTTGTTGATAAAATTCTTTATGTTAATTTAGTTTCGAAAAACATTAATTTATTCAATAAATTATTTATTTTTGTATTTAAATAATTGAATTCTTGTAGAATTTTCCAATAAAAATTGATTTGAAAATGAATATTAGTTAAAATTTTAGATAATAATTGAATATTAAAAGCATTATAGCATGAATTTTTAAAAATACATCATTGAATTCTTTCGAAGAATTTTATCAAAATTTTTGAAAATAGTGACATTTTTCGAAGAATTTACTTAAAATTGTATTAAAAATAATTGAAATCCTGTGAAGAATTTTATTAATTTATAAAAGTAATTGAATTCTTGCAATGAAATATTTCAATTTTTTTTAAATAATTGAAATAATGTAAAGAATCTTATTATTTATGAAAATAATTGAATTCCTGCATCGAATTTTATTACATTTTTTTAAATAATTGAATTCTTTTGAGAACTTTTATTAAAAAAGTAGATTGTGAAAATGTTTGAATTTCAATGAAGAATTTAATTATATTCGTGAAATGTAATTAAATTCTTACAAAAAAATTAAGAGAATAATTCCATTTTTCTAGGAATTTACTAATTATAGTCAGGGAAAAAGTGAAAATTTTGTCTGGAAATCAGGAAAAAGTCAGGGGTAAATAAAATTAAATATTTGTGGCAACCCTGAATTTTTAAAAATCTATACGATTGATTGTTCAGAATCGTAAGAAAAGCCTATAAAAAATTCGGCAATAAAAAATAATAATAAATGTGGAAGTAGTTGAATTTTTTAAGTATTACTATAGTAAAATTTGAACCAACAAAAAAACCTTGAAAATTTCCTAGAAACCTTGAAAAAACCGGGAAATAGACGTGAATTTTATTCACGAGTTTTGTTGGCCACCCTGAACATTGAATATTGTAAACAAATGGATTTGAAAATTCTCAAAGAACTTTTTCGAAAATTATGAAAAATAATCGATTTAAAGAAGAATTTTAGTTCAAATTTCTTGAAAATAATAATTGAATTGATAATAGTTTTATCACTCGGTCATTTTTAGTTATTATAAAACATTTTATTGTTATGGAAAATTTAATTTCTAGTTTTAAGTAAAATATTCTCTTATTTGACTCGGACTGGTTATATTTTTGTCAGTAATTGGTCCGTAAATGGTCCGTAATTCTCAAGAAATAGTATTAACGATGAATTTTGTTACAGGCTGGTAATTATGTGCGAGACGATGTCGTAGCATGTACAATTCAATTGATCTCGGAAACTCAAGCTCAGCAGTGTTATGCAGTTAGTGCCCTTTGGAGAGCTTTAGAGAAAGATACATCTGATAAACAACCATTGGCGCAGGTAGCCACGTGGTGCATAGGTGAATACGGAGATGTATTATTATATGGTCCACATCCAGAGGATGCTGATGCACCTGTTGATGTAAGTCATTTATTGTCAATAAAATAGATTTTTTTTGCCTTTACCGATAAGTTTCTACATTGTATCGCGTATTAACGGAAAATTAAGATACCAGAGGAACATTTTGACATTTGACACAAATATCCGTTAAGTTAAAATGCAAACCTTATAACAGATCTTTTATTAGTAACAACTAACTTGTATCGACCGTTTAATGATACACAAAAAACCTTAAAATACCTGAGAGGAGATTCTGCTTCGGACTTATAAACCGACGGATACAAACGACGGCGAAACCAGAAACGATGAAACTTGGACACAACAATTTACCAACGGCGACTCTTACAAACACAAATCCGACGACACAAACAATAAATAAATAAACTCATAAAACACAAAAGATTCACTTAAACAATTGACAATTTATTAAAACCCAAAACTTGAATACAAAACTGACTCTAAAACCCTGAGGTTCCCAAAAGTGGAAACCCCGAGTAAAACTCAACCTAATAATTTACATGGCCCACGAGCTACTGAAGAATGAATTTCACGTTGACCGGCTTCTTCCTTCATTTTTCCGTCCTTTTCTAATTTTGATAAGGGCCCACATATGACCCTCTCACTCACTCGAATGGACAGCGACAACCTGTAAAGAAAACTCGGGAGGGACCGCGGAGATTCGGGACTTTTCGCAACCTCGCATGCGCAATTCATTTTCACAGAGATTTCCACAGAGAAAATATCCCTTGACCAAATGAAATTTAGATAATCCCAATGATAGGAACCACACAAGATTTATGTAACGAAATGCTTCGTTACAACCTCTTACAAATATGTTATCTTTTCACTAAATATAAAAAACTAAATGTTTGTAACAGTTGACGGAAGTCGAAATCATTGATGTATATCAGAGACTTCTTTGGAATCCGCAAAATACTGTCATTACGAAGCAGTACACTTTGCTTTCTCTCACGAAGCTCAGCACTCGGTTCCAGAAAGGAAATGAGTAAGTTCTAGATGTCGGTGTAATGTCATATCTTACACTCTTAGAAATTGTGTAAATTCTTATAATTAGTGCGTGGTTAGCAAACCTTGATTGAATTTATGCGAAAAACTTCTAAGAGTGTAGGTGTGAATTGTAATTTTGCTTGCGTTACAGATTAATTTTCAATGATACAATAGTGATTCTGCGTTTTACAGGAAAATTCGACAGATAATAGACACTTTTGGAAGTAATTTACACATTGAACTTCAGCAACGTGGAATTGAATTTTCTCAACTATTTAGGAAATACGATCATTTGAGACCGGCTCTTCTCGAGCGAATGCCTCCAATGGAAACTGCAAGGCCTCAAGCAAATGGAATCATAGGAATGATGAACGGCGAACCTGATGTTCTCGAAGATGAAAAATCATCAATTTTAGAAGCTGATGCTTCCACTGCAGACTCTGTAAGTGATTAGAATAATAAATTCTTTGTATCGAATGATGATTTATGGTTGCAACACGTAATACGAATTATATATAATTTTTAAATCAACAGAACGCTCTTTTGGATCTTCTGGGAACAGCTGATTTGAATTCATCAGTAGCAAATGTGTCTACGACAACTCTTCCTCCAAGTACGTCCATTACGAATACCAATGATCTTCTGGACCTTTTAGGTGGATTGGATTTAAATACACCAACGACGACTCCAACCAAAATTGTGCAGTCGCCTTCACAAATATTTAGCCCAACAAACACATCTAATTTCTTGGTGGATGGACTCCTCAACTCTTCGTCCTCATCAAATGAAAATGGTTCGTTTTCATTCTTCACATTTGGGTCAAATTTTTTCGAAAAAATCAATCTTGCCAATGGATCTGTCCATTTTTCTGAAATTTGGTGTATAATAATTATTAGTCACGTAAATATGAATAAAATCGATTGAAAAGTCTCAGAGTTATGCATTTTTAAAAAAAAATTACTTTAAACTTTAATGTCCGGTAAAAGCCAAAATTTTGAAAAATTTTTTTCCTCTTTCTTCTCTTGCACAACACTACATTTACACCAAATATCAGAAAAATTGACAGACCCAATGCTAACATTGATTTTTTTGAGAAAATTTTACCCATCTATAGAATTACAGAAAAAAAATCTTTAACGACGGGAATTCTTAAAGTAATCCTAGTCTCTCAAAAGACAAATTTCACTGCTTATGAATCCTCCATATATCAATAAAGAAAGATTTAATAAAATACAGGGCTCGGATTGTGCGACTTTTTTCGACTTTTTTAAGGAAATGTGACTTTTTTCGACTTTTTTGTGAAAAATTGCGACTAATCGACTTTTTCAAGATTTTTTTTTTCTTAATAAAATGCGACAGAAATTTAAAAAAAAATTTTAAATTTAAAGGAAAAAGTTTGAGTCAAAAAAATGTTCTGTTACATTTATTTACAAATTTCTTTCAAATTTTTCGAAAACATCAATAATTTATTTTTTAAATAATTATTTAATTATTATTTTTCCATAGGAATTAAAATTTTTCAAAAGATTCAAATTCAAACCTATTTGAAATTAAACAACTTATAAAAAATTGTTATAAAACATGAAGAAATCGATCACTCCGAGTCTTCAACTCGGAGCAATCGATGTCTTCATGTTTTATAATAATTAAAGATGACCGAGTGATAAAACCATTATATTTTATAAGACTTTATAAAAAAAATTTTTTAATTATTTTTTATGAAAATATATGAATTATTGGTAACAAATTTATAAAACATTAGTAAGTAATTGAATTTTGCAGAAGAATTTTGATATTTACAAAAATAATTGAAATTTTGGGGAGAATTTAAAAAAAAATTAGAAAATAATTTAATTTCTGCCAAGAATTTTCTTACTTTTTGAAGAGAATTGAATTTTGCAAAGAATTTTAACAGAACTTTTGAAAATAATTAAATTTCCAGGATGAATTTATTATTTATGAAAATAATTAAAATTTTGACGAGAAATTTAAAAAAAATTAAAAATAATTGAATTTCTAGGATGAATTTTATTACTTTTGAACATAATTGAATTTCTAGAATGAATTTTATTATTTATAAAGATAATTTAACTTTTGATAAGAATTTTATTTAAAATTTTTGCAAATAATTGAATTTCAGAGAAGAATTTTATTCCTCTCAAAGATAATTGAAATTTTGAACAGATTGTTTTAAAAATGTTTAAAAGTAATTCAATTTTGATATTTATAAAAATAATTGAAATTTTAAAAATAATTTAAATGGAGAATTTAAAAAGGAGAATATAAAAAAAAATTTTTGAAAATAATTAAATTTCTGTAAAGAATTTTCTTACTTTTTCAAGATAATTGAATTTTGCAAAGAATTTTATCAGAACTTTTGAAAATAATATATTTTTACGATGAATTTTATTATTTATAAAATTTTGAATATAATTGAATTTTTGCGATGAATTTTATTACTTTTGAAAATAATTGAATTTTAGAGAAGAATTTTATTAAAATTTTTTTTAAATAATTGAATTTCGTCGAAGAATTTTATTATTTATAAAAATAATTGCCATTTTAAAGAGAATTTTAAAAAAATGTTAATAATACATAATTAAAATTTTGCTATGAATTTTATTAAATTTTTTAAAATTTTATTCCGGATTGTTTGATATTAATGTATCTGTTGTCGAGAAATGTGATTTTTTTACAATTTTGACAATTTTGTGTTTTCTTTTTGTCGTTTTTTTGATTTTTTCTAATATTTCATGCGACTTTTTTTCGACTTTTTCGGAAATTTTATGAGACTTTTCGTGACTTTTGTTGTAAATTTATGCGACTAAAGCGACTTTTTTTGAGTCTTAAAGACGATCCGAGCCCTGAAAATATTATAATGTGATTTTTTTATGTTCACTTTAGAAACCCAAAATATGGTTGTCTTTGACAAGTCGGGACTCAAAATTAGTTTCAAATTAGAAAGGTCAACAGACAATGCGGATTTACTGATAATAAACATGTCGGCTCAAAATTCAGGACCAACTCCATTGACTGAATTTTTATTTCAAGCTGCAGTTCCTAAGGTAATTTTGAAATAATTGTATTTTTTCAATTCCAGTTTAAATTTCGAAAAACTAATCTACAGTCGAACCTGTCGGAATGCAACTCTATTTAAAAAAATTTTTTTGTATTCGAAAGTGTCCAACAAGTATTATTTCAACTTAGTTCCTGAATATTGTAAAAATATTACAAAAATTAAATTATAAATCATATTTTTAAGGATTGTTTACTGTAATAAAATTTAAAAAATAGATTTGCATTCCGACAGGTTTCACTGTATTTAATAATTAACGAGAGAAAGAAAATTGAATTGAATCGTTCTAAAACCGTTGCTAATGTATAAGGTTTGATTATATTTCAGACATTCCAGTTACAAATGTTTTCGCCTTCTGGTACTGTTATTTCCCCGTCGGGTCAAGTTACTCAAGTATTAAAAATTACAAATATCAACAAAGTAAGTTTAATATTTATCCTCATAACTTCTAAAATTAGCATGAATTTTTAGAAATAATTAAATTTCAAAAGATTTTTGTATTTTGAAATCTTTGAAAATTTTTAATTCTTGTAAAACTATATTTCAATTTTTATTTTGTGAAATAAAATAATTAAAGTTTTAAATAATTTTGTTTAAAAATTTTAACCAAAAAAATGATTTAATTTTGGAAAAATTACACTTGTGATTTTTAGCAATAGTTAAATTTCAAAAAGGCTTTACATTGAAATCATTTAAAATATTTTAATTCCTGTGAAAAATTAATTTGGTATTTAAATATTTAAAACAAAATATTCTATTTTTTTAATGTAATTTCAATTAAAAATTATTACAGGGTGTCTACTAACCGGGAAAAACCGGGAAATTTTTTCACCAAATTAAAAAAAGTTTTATTATTTTAATTTGTTTTTAAAAAATCGCTTTTTATATCAATTTTTATAGATATTTATACTGTTCTCTAAATTTGAATTTGTTTAAAATAATTCATTTGATAGTAAAAAAATCAGTCACTGATTCAAATATAGTACCTATGTAAATAAATTTTTTAAAAAATATCGAATTAATAGAAATTTTGTGAAATTCAACTGAAAATAATTAAATTTGTTAAAGAATTTCATTAAAAACTTTTTCGAATTTTCAAAGTATTTTAATTTTATAATTGATAAATAATTGAATTTTATAAAGAGTCACATTTTTATGTATTCATGTTTCTTAGTGCGAGGATTAATAATTGAAATTTTTATTAGTTACTTTAAAAAAAGATTCACACTTACAATTTTTTATTAAAATTGAGTTTTCGCCAAGTTTTTTTTTGAAAATTCTGAAAAATAAGATTTTTGAAATTTTTCAATTCTATTGTTTCAAGATAATTGAATTTTTATAAACAAATAATTGAAAATTTTTGAAATAATCAAAATTTCTTTACATTCTTTTAAAAATAATTAAATTCTTTTAAAGAATTTTATTTAAATTTTTCGAAAATAATCAAAGGAAAGTAAGTTACAGTAATTATGTATAATTTTATTTTTAAAAATTTTTTCGCAATATATTTAAATATTTTCATAAATAGTAAAACTTATTGGAGAATTTCAATTATTTTTAATACAATTTTAATAAAATTCATCGAAAAATTTAATTATTTAAAAAAATTTTATTAAAATTCGTCGAAAGAATTCAATTATTTTCAAAAATTTTAATAAAATTCTACGCAAACATTTAATTATTTTCTTAAATAATAACATTCTTTGGAAGGATTCAATTACTTATATAAATAGAAAAATTCTTTGCAGAAATTCAATTAGTATCAATACATTTTAATAAAATTGAATTAATCAAATTTCAATTATTTTCAAGAATTTTCCTTAATTCAATGATTTACAATATCTACCTACTATTTTAATAAAAATTTCCAAAAGAATTAAATTATTTAAATCAATTTTAATAAAATTCTACGCTAACATTTAATTATTTTCATAAATAATAAAAGTTTAACATGGAATTTAATTATTTTTTTTAATAATTTAAATTTAATAAAATTTTTTTATAAATTTCTTCGCAATTATTCAATTATTTTTATAAATAATAAAATTTTTACAAGATTCAATTATTTTCGTTAATAATAAAATTCTTTTTAGCAATTCAATTATTTTCATAAATGATAAAACTCACTGCAGAATTTCAATTATTTTTAATACAATTTTAATCGAATTCCTCGAAAATGTAATTATTCTTAAAATTTTTATTAAAATTCGTTAAAAGAATTTAATTATTTAAAATTTTGGTGATAACATTTTTTATGAAAATTGAATTCCAAGAAACATTCAATTATTCAATAAATAATTTACTTTTGTATTTAAATAATTGAATTCTAGTAAAATTTTCTAATAAAAATTGATTTAAAAATGAATTTTAGTAGAAATTTTAGATAATAATTGAATATTAAATGCATTATAGAGTGAATTTTTAGAAATAATTGAATTTTGAAAAGGTTGCAAATTAAAATCTTTGAAAATTTGAATTTTTCATACTACCTAAACATTTCTATAGAAATAATTCTTTTTTGAAAAAGTTTAATTGAATTTTTTAAAATTATTTCAAGTTTTTATTTTCTAATATACAACTGAAGAATTTCCGAATAATCGATGAAATTTCGTAAAATTGGATTGTAAACAAATAAATTTGAAAATTCTCAAAAAACTTTTTGAATAATTATAAAAAATAATTGATTTAAAAAAGAATTTTAGTTAAAAATTCTAGAAAATAGTAATTGAATTGAAATTTAATTAAAATTAAGAACGAAGCCTGAAGTTTATAGCTTGATTAACTGTATAATGTATTGTATAATTTATTGTAATGAAAATTATTGCACCTTTAAAATAATAAATGATTGATTCTGTTTTAGGGCTCGCTTAGAATGAGATTACGAATTTCTTACACGGGATTAGCGGGTCCAGTTCTGGAACAGGCGGAAGTAAACAGCTTTCCATCTTTAGTATCGCAGTGACAGTAAACTATACAAAAGCTAATTGTACATATTTTCCTGCCTAATAACTAAGCGAGTCTTTAATTTAATTTTAATAGAGTGAATTCTAATCTCACAACTACGATTTTGTTTATAAATATTGCTCCAAGTAATTGTAACTTACGCAATTAAAAGAAGCTTAATTTTTTTCTTTTTGATAGTAGAAAAAATAATTTTCGAACAATTTTTAAAATTCCAAACATTGTTTATCTGGAACATATCTTCAATTATAAAAGATTAAATTAAAATTACAAATTTAATATTTTATGAAAGAAATTTTTTTCTTAAGTAAATAATTCATTTCATGTAGGGTTTTGTCTTTTCAATCTGATAATTACAGTTTCACTTTAGAGCTACTTGAATGTTAGGAAAATTCTCAAATTATTATAAATTAAGAATTCAAAAATAGTAATTTTAGAATTTAAGAATTATTTATGATGAATAATAATTTTAAATTGAATTGTACGAATTAGTCTCAAGTTGATTTTTTGTAAATTAAAAATTAAGGACTAACTAAAAAAAATTGAAATCTTATTAGCTTTCAATTTTTTTTTTGTTATTGTCTTTAATTTTCAATTAATTCAAAAGAGCAAAATATAAAAATATGTAAAATTTTCTGTAAAATACAAATAGCTCTAAAATGAAACTATCCCAATAAAAAGTGAATAAAACCGAAAGACCAGGTTTATATATAAAATTTGAAAAAACATTTCCCTAATTCATGGTTTAGATAAATATTTGTATATTAAAGGAAAGGTTACAAATATTTTTACATGTGTATATATACATGTATATATATTATACATATATTTTAATAAAAAAAAATACAAAAGATTTTTAAATTTTGAGTAAGCTAAATACCAAATGCTTTGTAAAATAATTGTAGCCTCTCTTTTAAAATAATTGAAAATGAGATTGTGAGTTTAGAAGTAAATTTGATATTTCATTATCTTATTTCTTTTTTCGTTTTTCTAAGATATAAACGAAAAAATGACTCGCTTACGTTTGAAGACTGTCGATAAATGGGAAGCAATGTCGAACTGTAATTTTAGACTGGAGAAAACTATTATTAATACTTTTTACACTTATAAATAATAAATAATAATATAATTCGATTATCGAAAGTTTAATATTTTATGAACTTTTTTTAAAAATCTGAATAACAGTTTCAATATTCGAAAATATTTATTGTTTTGTCGACAGTCGTTTTCTGTAATATAGTTTTTATCATAAGTCTATAAAATTTATGTATTAAAACATTTGAATAATTGAGAAGTAAGCGAACAAAAAATTGAGAAATTTTAATATAACTTTTTTCATTTACTTCTCAATTTAGTATGAATGTTAACTGGTTAACATAATTTTGATCTGAGAATGAATGCAGGTTTTTTTTGTGTAGAAAATGAATTTTGAGGGCAAAAAAATGTTTTACTTTGTTGACCAGTCGAAGCATTCCTTTTAATTTATCTTTAATTTTCAGTCACTTTATTTACAATGGGAAAAATCATTTGCAAATGCATTGTTATTATTATTAATGGAGAATTAATTAAATTATTTTCTAAGTGTGAAGTTGAAAATATCGCTCAAAACTTGAAATATTATGCCCGCAATTTTTCCCATGTTAAAAATAATAAAGTAGTTATAATAATAAAATTTTCTCGCAAATATTTCTTTAGTTTTGTAGATAACATGTTTAGTGATGAATATTTTCAAGAAAATGCGTGCGGTATTAAGTATTTTATAAGATAAAAAATAGAGGATCCTAAATTAATGAAATGTTTTAAATATTTAAATTCGAGAACTTTGAATTTATCGAGAGACAGTTTTTGAAGAGATATTATTTTGAATTCTGCTTAATTAAAAAAAAATTATTTAAAACGAATTATTAAAATTGTTGAAAATGAGTATTAAATATAGGAGAAAAGACGCAGTTCTGTCTCTTTGGAGGAATTTAAAAACTGAAAATATAGTTTAAGGCGAGAGTTATGTATGTTCGTGAAATCTATGATAAAATAGATTGCAGAATATTTTCTTTTTTTAAATGTTGCTTGTAATTATCAGATGTTATGTAAATACTAGATAGAAATGATCGCGAATTTCATTTATAGTTAACATGAAAAGTTCAAAATATAAATCCGGTGAATAAGCAGTTATGTAAAAGTAAATTACATTGTCTATCAATTTGTTTAAAATAAGGAATATTACAGCAGAATTTCAATTACTTTCAAAAAATTTCCTCAATTCAATGATTTTTAATATCTAAACTATTTTAATAAAATTTTCCAAAAGAATTCAATAATTTTTTTAAAAAATGTAATAAGATTTTACGCAAACCTCTAATTATTTTTATAAAATAATAAAAATTTCACAGGAATTCAATTATTTAAATTTTTTTTATAAATTTCTTCACAATCATTCAATTATTTTCAAAAAAAAAATTTTTTTACAGGGATTTAATAATTTTTGTAAATAATAAAATTCTTTTTAGAAATTCAATTATTTTCCTAAATAAAAAAACTCATTGCAGAATTTCAATTATTTACAAATTTTTTAAATTCGTCAAAAGAATTCAATTATTTAAAAATTTATTGATAAAATTCTTTATGAGAATTCAATTTTAAGAAACATGCAATTGTAATTATTTTCAAAAATTTTAATAAAATTCTTAGTAGAAATTTAATTAATATAAAAAATTTGTCAAAATTTAATTCTTTACAATGTCTACTATTTCAATAAAATTTAACAAAAGAATTAAATTATTTGAAAAGAAATTTTAATAAAATTCGTCTCAAGAATTGAATTATTTTCAAAAGTAATAAAATTCTTCAAAGAAATTCAATTATGTTAAAAAATTTACAAAAATTCTCTTCAAAATTTCAATTATCTTTGTTAAAAATTAAAATTTTTCTCCGAAATCCAATTATTTTTCAAAATTTTAATAAAATTCTTGGCAGAATTTCAATTATTTTTAATACAATTTTCATCAAATTTCTTAAAAAATGAAATTATTCTTAAAAATTTTATTAAAATTCGTCAAAAGAATTCAATTATTTAAAAATTTATTGATAAAATTCTTTATGAGAATTGAATTTTAAGAAACATGCAATTATAATTATTTTCAAAAATTTTAGTAAAATTTTTGGCAAAATTTCAATTATTTTCGTAAATAATAAAACTCATTGCAGAATTTCAATTATTTTTAATACAATTTTAATAAAATTCCTCGAAAAATGTAATTATTCTTAAAGATTTTATTAAAATTCGTTGAAATGTTTCAATTATTGAATTATTTTTTAATTATCTAAAAATTTGTTGATAACATTTTTTGTGAGAATTCAATTTTAAGAAATAATTTGTTATTCTATAAATTATGTATTTTTCATTTAAATAATTGAATTCTCATAGACTTTTCTAATAAAAATTGATTTAAAAATGAATTTCAGTTAAAATTTTAGATAATAATTGAATATTAAAAGCATCAGAGCGTGAATTTTTAGAAATAATAAAAAATTCACAGGAATTCAATTATTTTCAAATTAATATTCAATTATTTTCATAAATATTAACATTTTTTGCAGGGATTCAATTATTTTCATAAATACATAATAAAACTCATCGCAGACTTTGAATTATTATTTTTAATTTAATTTTCATGGAAATCCTCGAAAAATGTAATTATTCTTAAAAATTTTACTAAAATCCAGCAAAGAAATTCAATTATTTTAAAAACCTTTGCTACAATTTATTTATTACAATTTAAGTATTATTTTCAATACATTTTTAATTAAATTTCTTCAATGAATTAAATTATTTTCAAAAATTTTTATGAAATTCGTTGGAACAATTGAATTATTTTAAAAATAATTTTAATAAAATTCTTCATAGAAATTTAATTAATATAAAAAATTTGTCAAAATTCAATTATTTTCAATGTCTACTATTTCAATAAAACTTCACAAAAAAAGTCAATTATTTAAAAAGAAATTTTAATAAAATTCGTCTCAAAAATTCAATTATAATCAAAAGTAATATAATTCTTCGCAAAAATCCAATTATATTAAAAAATTTACAAAAATTCTCGTCAAAATTTCAATTATCTTTATAAATAATAAAATTTTTCTCCGAATTTCAATTATTTTCAATAATTTGAATAGAATTCTTGGCAGAATTTCAATTATTTTTAATACAATTTTCATTGAATTTCCCGAAAAATAAAATTATTCTTAAAAATTTTATTAAAATTTGTCAAGAGAATTTAATTATTTAAAAATTTGTTGATAAAATTCTTTATGAAAATTCAATTTTAAGAAACATTTAATTATTTAATAAAATATTTATTTTTGTAGTTAAATAATTGAATGCTCGTAAAATTTTCTAATAAATATTGATTTAAAAATGAATTTCAGTTAAAATTATAGATTATAATTGAATATTGAAAGCGTGGATTTTTTTAGAAATAATTGAATTTTCAAAAGGTTTCAAATTAAAATCTTTGAAAATTTCAACTTTTCATACTTTTATTTAAGAATTCTGTGGAATTAATTTTTTTCAAAAAATTAATTGAAATTTTTAAAAAAAAATTATTTTAAGTTTGTAATTTCTAATATATATTTAATTGAAGAATATCAGGTTAATTGAAATTACGGAAAATTAAATTGTAAACAAAAGAATTTAAAAATTCTGAAAGAACTGTTTCAAAAATTATTATTAAAAAAGATTGATTTAAAGAAGATAGAATCTTAAGTTAAAAATTCTAGAAATAAATAATCGAAATGATGAAAATAATTTTTGAAGATGTTACAGTAACAAAGTAGCAATTTTTAATTATTATAAATTAAATTTGAAATTTTCGAAAATTTTAATTTCTACGAAAAAAATAATAATGATTAAATATTTATTTAAAAATGAAGTTATTGTCTTATTGTCTTACTAATGAATTGACAATTGTTTCGTACTCGAAAAATTCTGGGAAAATTCAAAGTTATTGATATTTTCGAATAATTTTCATTTTTAAAGCCTGGAAAAATTCTGTTTTTTACCTGGAAAACCTAGAAAAGTCAGGGAATTTGAAAAGTGAAAAAGCGTGGCAACCCTGTAATAAATTCCATAGTGGAAAATAGTTTTTATAAATATTTTTTGAATAATAGTATTGATTATTTGTTAAAACGTGAAAGAGCTTGATGCTGATTGTCTTTGTTATCTTTTACTAGTAAATTGAAGATCATTATTTTCATTTAAAGTCAACAATGAAAATTTCCAAAAGTACTCAAAATTTCTTTATAAAACAGTGAAAGTTTTGTAAGTAATTGAAAATATAAAATTAGAAAATAATGGAAGAGAAATGAAGTGCAATATGAATGTTTTTAAATACGAATATTTATTTACACTACTGCTGGAAATTGTGTGTCCCCAAGGACAATGTTTACATCGGAAGCAATTAAAAACTATACTTTTATTTAAATGGACCCACTCTCACTTTTTATTTAATTTTCGAATGCCCATCCAAATTATTAAAATTCTTTTCTTCGATTTTTGACACTAAAAGCTACTTTTTTCTATGTTTGAGAATTTACAATAGGTACTTTAAATTCGCTAATAGTTGAAAATAAACAAATTATTCTCAAAAATTTAAATAAAATTCTTAAAAAACGATTCAACAAAATTGTAATTCAATTTTTTTCAAATAATAAAATTCTTCTCAGGAATTCAATTAATTTTTAAAAATTTTAATAAAATTTGTTTATTAGAATTTAATTATTTTCAAAAATTTTAATAAAATTCTTCACAACAATTCAATTATTTTCAAAAATTTTGATAAAGCTCTTTATAAGAATTCAGTTTTAAGAAATATTCAATTATTCGTTAAATAATTTATTTTTGTATTTAAATAATTGAATTCTCGTAGAATTTTCTATTAAAAATTAATTAAAAATTTTAACAAAAATATGATTTTGGAATAAATACATTTGAAATTTTTAGAAACAGTTAAATTTCAAAAAGGCTTTACATTGAATTTCAACACTATTTGAGTGAATTTCTTGAATAATATTTCTCGTTTTTATTATAAATAAATTATTATTATTATAAAAACAATAGAGAGAATTTAGCACTTTGGTAAAACTTGCTAAAATGAATATAAAACAATATTTTTTACGTTTCGACAGCACGACTGTCCTCTTCAGAAACGAAAATTTATTACATATAATTATGTAAGTACAATATAATAATTCACAAGTTATCTGGCTTTCAATTATTTATTTTTAATTATTATTATAATTTTATATTATTTCAATAAAATTTATTTCGAATATTTGGAAAATTTTTCAATTAATCTCTTTCGGGAATTTAATTATCTTGATGAAATTTTAATTAAATTTTTCAGAAACGTCAGTTCTTCAGAACTTGGAAATTAAATTCTTCAATGTCTTAGTAATTTTCTTAAATGATTCTAAATACTTTTGTTCCTATTGTTATTTATTTTTGCACGAGAATTAATTAATCATTTTTATTTTTTTATCATTTTTATTAATCATTTTTAAAAAAATAATTTCAAATCTTACGAAATTTAATTATTTCTAAAAATTACAACTGTAATTCTTCCAAAATTAAATTATTTTCTAAAACTTTTAACTGGATTTCTTGTTTAAATATATTTTTATGAATTTTGAAAAAGTTTTTTTTAGAAATAAATATTTTTTTAAAAAAGAAAAGCTTATGTAATTAATAAATTGCGTTTATCTCGAAAATTTGAACTGGTAAATTGGGACCTATTATATGAACGTTTCATTGCGAACATAAATATTTATAATAATTAAGTAAAACTATTTTTTGTAAGTTGTCCCCCAAAGAGACATACAAATTGATATAAGCAATTTTGCTATAGTTTTTATTTTGGAAAAAATTTGCCAAAATATATATTAGAAAATAAAAACTTCAAATAATATAAAAACAATTCAATTAAACTTTAAAAAAAAATTAATTTCAAAATTCAATTATTTCTAAAAATTCAAGCTATTCAATTATTATCTAAAATTTTAATTGAAATTAATTTTTAAATCAATTTTTATTAAAAAATGCTACCATAGAATTCAATTTTTTAAATACAAAAGTAAATAATTTATATTGAATAATTGAATGTTTCCTAAAATCCAATTCTCATAAAGAATTTTATCAACAAATTTTTAAATAATTCAATTCTTTCGTCGAATTTTGATAAAATTTTTAATAATAATTACATTTTTCGAGAAATTCGATTAAAATTGTATTAAAAATAATTGAAATTCTGCGAAAAGTTTAATTATTTTTGTGAAAATAATTGAATTCCTAAGAAGAATTTTTTTATTTACGAAAGTAATTGAATTCCTGTGAAATTTTTATTATTTATGAAAATAATTGAAAGATTGCGAAGAAAATAAAAAATTTGTAAACAATTGAATTATTGTTAAATTTTTATTATTTTATGGAAATAATTGAATTTCTGTGAAATTTTTATTATTTTTTGAAAAAAATTAAATGTTTGCGTAAAATTTTTTTAAATAATTGAATTCTTTTGGAAAATTTTATTAAAATAGTAGATATTAAGAATCATTGAATTGAGGAAAATTTTTGAAAATAATTGACTTTTGAAGAAAAATTTTATTAAAATTTTTGAAAATAATTGACTTTCGAAGGAAAATGGTATTATTTCAAAAGATAATTTAAATTTTTAATGAAGATAACAATCACTTCGAGTCTTAAAAATTATAACCGGTTCTCCGATCGAAACTCTCATTTATTAGAAGGAAGAAACTTATTTTCTTGTACCAAGTAATTATTAGCATTGAACAGACAGGGTGGCCACCAAAACTCGTGAATGAAATTCACGTCTATTTCCCGGTTTTATCAAGGTTTCTAGGAAATTTTAAAGGTTTTTTTGTTGGTTCAAATTTTACTATAGTAATACTTAAAAAATTCAACTACTTCCACATTTATTATTATTTTTTATTGCCGAATTTTTTATAGGCTTTTCTTACGATTCTGAACAATCAATCGTATAGATTTTAAAAAATTCAGGGTTGCCACAAATATTTAATTTTATTTTTCCCTGACTTTTCCCTGATTTCCAGACAAAATTTTCACTTTTTCCCTGACCATAAAGAATATTCTGATTCACTCTAGAAATGATTAAAAACATTCTATTCCATTAACTTACGAATTTCTTAAATTTTAAAATTATTCGCAAACATCAATAACTAAATTTTTAAATAAGTATTTAATTATTATTTTTCCATAGGAATTCAAATTCTTCAAAACATTCAAATTCAAACATGTTTAAAATTCAACAACTTATAAAAATTTTAATTTCCATAAAATTTTTCAAAAAAAAATAAATTATTTACAAAAATTATAATAAAATTCGTTGCAAGAATTCAATTATTTTCATAAATAATAAAATTCTTCACATTTTTTCAATTATTTTTAATACAATTTCAAATACATTTCTCGAAGAATAAAATTATCTTCAAAAATTTTTTGCAAGAATTAAATTAGGTACATTTCACAAATAATGGAATTTTTCGCTGAATTTCAAAAATTTTCAAAATTTACATTTTTAATACAAGTTTTCAAAAGAATATAATTATTTAAATAAAATGTAATAAAATTCCTTGCATAAATTTAATTATTTTTACAAGTAATAAAATTTTCCACATGAATTCAATTATTTAAAAAAAATTGATAAAATTCTTTGTAAGAATTTCATTATTTTCATAAATTATAAAAATTTTCTGAGGATTTCAATTATTTATAATACAATTTAAAGTAAATTCCTAGAAAAATGGAATTATTCTCTTAATTTTTTTGTAAGAATTTAATTACATTTCATGAATATAATTAAATTCTTCATCGAAATTCAAACATTTTCACAATCTACTTTTTTTAATAAAAGTTCTGAAAAGAATTCAATTATTTAAAAAAATGTAATAAAATTCTTCACAGGATTTCAATTATTTTTAATACAATTTTAAGTAAATTCTTCGAAAAATGTCACTATTTTCAAAAATTTTGTTAAAATTCTTCGAAAGAATTCAATTATGTATTTTTAAAAATTCATGCTATAATGCATTTAATATTCAATTATTATTATCTAAAACTATAACTAATATTCATTTTCAAATCAATTTTTATTGGAAAATTCTACAAGAATTCAATTATTTAAATACAAAAATAAATAATTTATTGAATAAAATGAATGTTTTTCAAAACTAAATTATCATAAAGAATTTTATCAACAAATTTGATTTTTTTCGAGAAATTTTAATAAAATTTTCAAGAATAATTAAATTTTTCGAGGAATTCAATTAAAATTGTATTAAAAATAATTGAAATTCTATGATGAATTTTATTATTAGTAAGAATTTGATGTAATCGATCACACTGAGTCAAGGAAGTTAAAAATTAAAAAACTCTCTTTTTACGTTTCGACAGCGCTGCCGTCCTCATCAGAAACTACAATTTATTAAAAAAGTTAAAAATTATTACAAAATTTTGTACATTATTAATTAATTTAAATCTATAGTAATAGAAAATTACCAGAAAAAAGAATATATTTACGCGTTCACATTATTGAAATAACGTCCTACACGCTATAAGCGAAATGTGACACTGAGCAAACAAAATATTAAGAAGTAGACATATACAAGAAAAGAATCGACGATGAAGGGTCAACGACATTTCAGTAAACAGAGAAATTAGGTAATAAGAGAAATGTCAGAGCATCAAAATATGACAAGATTACGAGTATTTATTTTCATTGAGAAAGTGTGTATAATAATTATTAAGATTTTGTATGTCATCCCTTTTATTAATCGGGTTAATTTGTAAATTAATATAAATCATTTCTGATATTAAACGTTTTTTGTAATTATCCTCTCTGTCAAGAATTGCAAAATTAACAAAATCAAATCTGTGTTTTAAAGAATCACAATGATGTGCAACTATATTATCTTTAGAATTTTTATGTTCATTAATTCGGACGCCAACCATTCTTTTTGACTGTCCAACATATGAGGCAGAGCAATCATGACAATTAATCTTATAAACAGTATTAGTATTTTCAGTTTTTTTATTTTTGTCTTTATATTTAACGATAAGATTGTGACTCATATTAATATTACTAATAGGAATAGTTAAAATGTTGTAATTCTTTAATAAGAATGAAACATTCTCAAAAAGATTAGGAACATAAGGTAAAAAGACCTTGGGTAACATATTGTATATTGTCCTATTATTATTATAATTATTCCCATTAGAGTCATTGTGTTTATTTAAATTAATGAAGGAAATACGTTTTTTAGTATATTTACGGATAAATTCTATTGGATAATTATTATTCAATAGTAACTGTTCAACAAATTGAATGTTTTTTGAATGAAATTGCTTATCTGACAACTTAACAGCTCTGTCAATAAGATTGTATACAATAGCAACTTTTTGTGAAAATGGATGTTTTGATTTGTAATTGATAGTTCGTCCAGAAAATGTAGGTTTTAAGAACCAGTCAGTAATGAGCTTTTTATTGTCAATAATAATAAGAACATCTAAAAAGTTTATACTATTGTTATTTAACATTTCAAATGTAAATTGTAATCTTTCATCATAGCCGTTAAATTTATCAACAATTTCATTAATTTTGTCAGCTGGTATGCAAGTGATTATATCGTCAACGTATCTATAAAAAAACAATGGTTTAAAAGAAAGTTTAGAAAGACAAATAGTCTCAAGGTCCTCCATGACAATGTCCGCGAACAATCCAGAAATGGAAGAGCCCATAGGAGTGCCATAGATTTGTTGATAGTACTTATCATTAAACTTGAAAAAATTATTATCAAATAGAAATTGACAAGCATTAAGTAAATCATCCAAAGGAATATTTAGATTCCTAGAAATAGTTATATAACGTTTTATAATAGAATCACGAACATGCTCAGAACCAACATTTGTGAACAGAGAAGAAACGTCAAGACTAATAAGCGTATGATCAGTAGGAATGGTAAATTGTGTAATTTTCTTAATGAAATCACTACTATTTTGTATATATGATTTTGGTTTATTTATGGATTTATCCAGTAAATCAAATAAATGTTTAGATAAAAAATAAGTTGGAGAATTAACTGTAGAGACTACAGGTCTGAGAGGAACATTTATTTTGTGAATTTTTGGTAAACCATAAAGTTTTGCTATATTTGTGTTAGTTTGTGTAAGTTCAAGGTCATAATATTTTCTATTAAGAAAACCACTATTATTCCAATATTTTAAAATTTTATAAGTGTCAGTTTTTAATTTATTCAGAGGGTTTCTTTTAATTATTTTATAAGTTTTAGTATCATTAAGTAAATTGTTTTCAATTTTATTAATATATTCAACTTTGTCCATTGCTACTGTGACATTTCCCTTATCAGCTATTGTAAAAAAGATTTCACTATGATTTTTGACAAACAATTTAGCGTTATTTAGTTGTTTTGAATAAATAAGATCATTTACATTAATGTGTTTTGAGTTGCTTTTTACATGGCTTCGAAGATTCGTAATTAATTTGTTTCTTATGTCATTAGATAATTCATTATTTAAATTATAATTATTAATAAAAGTTTCAACAGATTTTATATAATTGATAGAGGTATTCAACTGTTTTTTATCGTCGAATTTAAAATTATTGCCCAATGAGATAACATTAGCAACATTATCAGGAACTACAGAGTTTGAAAGGTTTAAAAACCAATTAGATTGAGAATTCATTGGGTTGTTAATATTTAAATTACTGTTGCTAATTAGATAGTTGAACTTCTTTTCAGAATGTTTTTTTGTGTTATTAATGAATTGTTCATGTTGATTTTCATGGATGTCAAAAATAGATTTACAATTATCAGGAGGAAAATTATTATTGATGACAGTCTTTAACATATCAATTTTTTTGTTTAAATAATCGATATGAATGCACTTATCTTCAATAAGGATGTTAAGTAGTTTTTGTTTAATATGATTTTGATAAATTTAACGGCTATGATGAAAGATTACAATTTACATTTGAAATGTTAAATAACAATAGTATAAACTTTTTAGATGTTCTTATTATTATTGACAATAAAAAGCTCATTACTGACTGGTTCTTAAAACCTACATTTTCTGGACGAACTATCAATTACAAATCAAAACATCCATTTTCACAAAAAGTTGCTATTGTATACAATCTTATTGACAGAGCTGTTAAGTTGTCAGATAAGCAATTTCATTCAAAAAACATTCAATTTGTTGAACAGTTACTATTGAATAATAATTATCCAATAGAATTTATCCGTAAATATACTAAAAAACGTATTTCCTTCATTAATTTAAATAAACACAATGACTCTAATGGGAATAATTATAATAATAATAGGACAATATACAATATGTTACCCAAGGTCTTTTTACCTTATGTTCCTAATCTTTTTGAGAATGTTTCATTCTTATTAAAGAATTACAACATTTTAACTATTCCTATTAGTAATATTAATATGAGTCACAATCTTATCGTTAAATATAAAGACAAAAATAAAAAAACTGAAAATACTAATACTGTTTATAAGATTAATTGTCATGATTGCTCTGCCTCATATGTTGGACAGTCAAAAAGAATGGTTGGCGTCCGAATTAATGAACATAAAAATTCTAAAGATAATATAGTTGCACATCATTGTGATTCTTTAAAACACAGATTTGATTTTGTTAATTTTGCAATTCTTGACAGAGAGGATAATTACAAAAAACGTTTAATATCAGAAATGATTTATATTAATTTACAAATTAACCCGATTAATAAAAGGGATGACATACAAAATCTTAATAATTATTATACACACTTTCTCAATGAAAATAAATACTCGTAATCTTGTCATATTTTGATGCTCTGACATTTCTCTTATTACCTAATTTCTCTGTTTACTGAAATGTCGTTGACCCTTCATCGTCGATTCTTTTCTTGTATATGTCTACTTCTTAATATTTTGTTTGCTCAGTGTCACATTTCGCTTATAGCGTGTAGGACGTTATTTCAATAATGTGAACGCGTAAATATATTCTTTTTTCTGGTAATTTTCTATTACTATAGATTTAAATTAATTAATAATGTACAAAATTTTGTAATAATTTTTAACTTTTTTAATAAATTGTAGTTTCTGATGAGGACGGCAGCGCTGTCGAAACGTAAAAAGAGAGTTTTTTAATTTTTAACTTCCTTGACTCAGTGTGATCGATTACATCAAATTCTTACTATTTAATACGACTGAGTGATAGAATAAATCCATTATTCTGAATTTTATTATTCATGAAAAGAATTGAATTTTTGTAAAAAATGTTATTATTTATAAAAATAATTGAATTATTGCAAAGTTTGCTTAGAATTTTAGCAAAATTTTTTTTTTAAATAACTGAATTCTTTTGAAAATTTTTATTAAAACTGTAGATATTGAAAATCATTGAATTGAGAAAAATTTTTTGAAAATAATTGAAATTTTGCAAAGAATTTTATTAAAACTTTTGAAAATAATTGAAATTTGGTGAAGAATTTTATTATTTTTAAAGATAATTGAATTTTTATGAGAATTTTTTTTAATTTTCGAACATAATTGAATTTCTGCGAAGAATTTTATTACTTTTGAAAATAATTGAATTTCTGCAATCATTTGTAACTTCTCCAAAATTCAATTTTTTCCAGTTACTTAAATAAAAATCCCTGAATTTTCCCTGCCCAATTTTACTTCCCCTGACTTTTCCCTGAATTCCCTGATTTCCCTGACCTGTGGCAACCCTGAAAAATTTCAATTTTTTCAAAAAATAAAATTTTGAAAATGGTCAAAAAATTTTTTTTTTAGTTTTAATAATATATAATACCTTGAATTTTAATTCAAGGTTTTTAAAAAAATTCACATCTAATTCACGGTTTTTTCAAGGTTTGACAAAATTCACGTCCATTTCAAGGTTTTCTAGGTTTCAAGGTCCGGTGGCCACCCTGTTTTTGAACATAATTGAATTTCTGCAATCATTTGTAATTTCTCCAAAATTCTCTAAATTATATCGTACAATTTACGAACTTTTTGTCCGTTTTCAATCAAATTACAGATTTTACGAACCTTTTTTAAAAAAACTGACTTTTACGGACTTGAAGCAAATTTATGGACCTTTATGAAATTTACAAACTTAGTTCGAGCCCTGCTACCTATTTTGTAAAGAATCGAAAAATATTTTATAAGTATCTTTTATTTTGGGAGATTCTTCTTAAGAATTCATCCAATTCGCTTAAAACTCATCGTTGCTCGGGGATTTTTGGGGTCGCTGATTACAAATATGAAGTCCGATTTGAAAAATTAAAAATGGCGAAAGAATGTTATAAAAATTCAGAAAACACACAGAAAAACTATTCTACTTTCAATAAGAGTGAAAAATGAAATTGGAGTGCGTATCTTTCAAAAATTGAAATCACCATGAATGATTTGGTTCTTAACTGCTTTAGATTTTAACTCCGTCCCTCGTGTGTTGCATGAAATGAATATAGTTAAAGAATGAAAGAATATATGTTGACCTTGTCTATAGAAATGTACGACACAGCATCGGCTCTTCGGTGTAAAAAGCTCTGCCTAATTTTCAATTAAATCCACTTGACGAGGTAAATAGAGTTTTTGATAAAAAAAGGGCATTTTCACAAAAATTCGTTTTTTGCCTATTCGTCACGATGATGATAGAAGTTACACGATAAAGTTAAAAACTAAATTGAACATTTTTCTTATACTCTTAAATGCCTCTTTTGAAAAAAATTGTTGAGATTCTACAATAGTTGGAAAAAAGATATATTTAATCATCGTGACGCACAGACAGAATATCCTAGAACTTAAAATTGTACATTCGTGTGCATATATTCTATAATAATTATTAAGTTAAGTTATTATTGAATGTATAACTGATTTGGCAAAAATGAGTGTCTTTCCGAAGAGAAGATATCGCTGCACACGACTGTACAATCGCCTCATTATTACAGATTTATTTTTTCATATTATGCTAGTTTTAATACCTTATGCAATTATGTTGAGAATGAATGTATAATTATAATAGACATATTCACATGATTGTACAGAATTATGAAAAGTGACACAAGTTCTTCGTGAATATTGTAATTTCTAGATGAGCCTGTATGCATATAATTAATTATAAGAATGATTTTTATCAACACAGTTGGCTGTATATACTTTTTAGTAAATCAACGTGTGCAAATAAAGTGTATTTTTATTCCTTAATATTCTTCTTTCTTTTGAAGAAGATAAAAATTTATTGTTGTCTAATTCAAAGTGCAAAACCGAGTATAGACATAAAATTATAATAATCTGGAAGTGATGTCAATTTTTACTACTATAATTATTTTTTTTTATTATTTTTTATTATTATTATTTTTATTATTATTATTTTTTATTTATAAAAAATTTCATGAAAATTTGACAATTTTTTTAAAGCGCTAATTAATTGTAATAATTAATATTATTATATTTTATTAAATTAATTTACTTGTATATTAGACGTTGTATTTTTCTTATTAAATTTTAATTTTCATTAAGGGCATTTGAACCTTGATGACGTTACAGATTATGCAAAGCATGCGTGACGTCATCAAGGTTCAAATGCCCTTAAATTGACGTCAATTTAAAGAAAGTAAAAATTTCTTATTTTTAATGATAAAATGAATAAAAAATTTGACTTCGCAAAAATAAAAATTTTTTTATTTTATTAAATTTTGTTTCTCAACTAAAAAGTTAATACTTTAACTATTATTGGTAGGTCTCGGTTAAAGTATATTTCATAAAAGTTTTTGAAAATCAAAGTTTGAAAAATTTAATTGCAAATTCTAAAAATAATTAAATTTCTTAAAAGATTTTAATAATTTTCGTCAACTTGAGTAATCAATTTGATAGAAATTAATAAAAAGATAGAATTTTTTAAATCTTTGTATCAAAAGGTGACTTTCAAATATTTTATAAGTTCAATTAATTTCGCATTTTTTATTAATCTTCATTGTCGATTTTTTAATACTTTTTTTATGATTCTGAATAATCAATCGTATGGATATTGAAAAATCTTAATTTTTTCAAAAAAACCAGAGATCTTGATATATTTGTTGAAAAAATAATTCTTTAAAAAAAACATTATTTTCAAAATTTTTAATAGAATTCTTTCCAAAAATTTAGATAAAATTCTTCGAAACTTCGAAACAATTCAATTATGTTTATGAATTGTAAAATCATCCGCAAGAAATTAATTATTTTCATAAATAAAATTCTTCAAAAGAATTTAATTATTTTCATAAATTATATTTTTAGAGCAATTCAATTATTTTCATAAATAATATTTTTCTTATAGCAATTCAATTATTTTCAATACAATTTTAATAAAATTTCTGTAAAGAATACAATTATTTTTAAAAATATTAATTAAATTCGATTATTTTCAAGAATTTTTAAATAAATTCATTTATTTTCAACAATTTTGATGAAAATTCTTTTAAAAAAATTATTATTTTCAAAATTTTTAATAAAATACTTTCAAAAAATTCAATTATTTTCAAATTTTTTAATAAAATTCTTTCAAAAATTTTTATTATTTTCAAAAATTCAGATAAAATTCTTCGAAACAATTCAATTATCTTTATATATTGTAAAATCCTCCACAAGAATTCAATTATTTTCATAAATAAGAAAATTCTTCGCAAGATTAAAATAATTTCATAAGTATGAAAATTCTTCTCAAGATTAAAATATTTTTATAAATAATAAAATGCTTCGAAGGAATTCAATTATTAGGAACAATTTTAATAAAAATTCAATATTTTTTAGGGTTCCGTACACCTACGGTGTATCGGCGGAACCCTATTGGTGAGACTCTGTTGTCCGTAGCCAAATCGTGTCCCCCCCCCTAGCGGCTAAACTATTTGACCTAAAGAGCTCAAATTTGGTCCAGATATGTATTTTCACTCGTAGATTACAGGAAAAATATAGCGAATGTGATTGGACGTGATGGACATAGCGTTGTCAAGGAAATAACAAGATTTTTGGCCAAAAATGCATAAAAAGTGACCACCCCCCCTTAACTTCTAAACTATTCGACATGGAGAGCTGAAATTTTGCATGCTGGTGTATTTTTACTCGAATATTACAGGAAAAATATAGAGAACTCAATATGTAATGATGGCCATAGCGTTGTCAAGGAAAAACTAAAAAATTAAAAAAAAAAATTTTTTTCCCTAACTTTTACATTATTTGACCTAATGAGCTGGAAATTGGTATCCTGGTGTATTATTACAGTCTGACGACAAAAAATTTATTTAAGAAACTTTTTAAAAAAAAATTTTTTTTAATTTTTTTTAGTTTAAACACGTGGCATTAAATATTTTAAGGAAGAGTGAAATTTTAAGAGAATAAATGAGAGATTGTTTTCTGACTTTAATTTCTTAACTAAAAATAAAAAAAAATTGGACAAGTGCGAGTTGTACTCGCACTGCAATGGCGGGTTCCGTACACAAATATTAAAACAATACTTGCAACATTTATCGGTAATTGGTAGAATTAAAATAAACAATTAAGAAAATATATTAAAATCATTTGATAAGAAGAAATAACTAAAAAAAAATTAAAGTATTGTATATCTAATATTGTAAACAATAATAAGCAGAGGAACAAAATTTTCAAAATTATAGTTCTTCTGCTTATTATTGTTTACAATATTAGATATATACAATACTTTAATTTTTTTAGTTATTCTTTTTTATCAAATGATTTTAATATATTTTTTTAATTGTTTATTTTAATTCTACCAATTACCGATAAATGTTGCAAGTATTGTTTTAATATTTGTGTACGGAACCCGCCATTGCAGTGCGAGTACAACTCGCATTTGTCCAATTTTTTTAAATTTTAATCAATTCTTCGAAACAATTTAATTATTTTTTTATAAATTCTAAAATTCTTGGCAAAAGAATCCAATTATTTTTGTAAATAACAAAATTCTTCAGAGAAATTCAATTATCTTCAGATACATTTTAAATAAAATTTCTTTGAAAAAATTCAGTTATATTCGATTCAAATTATTGTCAAAAATATTACATTATTTTTACGAAATTTAATGAAATTCTTCAAAGAAAAATATAATTATTTACAAAAACTCTAATAAAATTGTTTAAAAGAATTTAATTTTCAATGAATAATTTTAATATAATTTAATAAGAAAACCTTAAATTACAATTAATAATAAACACGATTATTTTAAAAACTTAACAGAAATTCTTCTTGAAATTCAATTATTTTGAAAATTTTCAGTAAAAACTATTAAAAACAAACTTCATTATTTTCAAGAATGTTGAAATAAATCCTTAAAAATAATTAAATTATTTTAAAGAATTTTAATAAAAACTTGCCAAGAGTTAAATTATTTTCAACACAATTTCAATTACTTTTTCTCGAAAGAATTCAATTATTGAAAAAAAAGTTTGCTGAAATTCTTGAAATGAATTCAATTATTTTCAAATTTTTCTATAAATACTTTAGAAGAATTCATTGATTTTCTGTACATCGACAATTTAATTATTTCTGAAAATAATTGAATTTTCCCTGGAATTCAATTAAAATTGTATTTAAAGTAATTGAATTCCAGCGAAAATTTCATTATTTTTAAAAATAATTGAGTTCTTAAAATGGATTTTATTAAAAGTTTTTTAAATAATTGAATTCCTGTGAAAAATTCAATTATTTAAAAAAATAATTGAATTTTCTCGAAGAATTTTTACAAGATTTTTAAAAATAATTGAAATTTTCAAAGAAATTATTTAAAAATGGAATTGAAAATAAGTGAAATCCTGATAAGAATTTTATTATTTATATAAAAATAATTGAATTTTTTATGAAGATTTTTATTATTTATAAATTGACTAATGAATTTTATTACAATTGGAATTATTGAAAATAATTGAATTCTTCATAAAAAATTCTTTCAAAATTTTCAGTAAAAATTATTAGAAAAAACTCGATTATTTTCAAGAAAATTGAAATAAATTCTTCAAAACAATTCAATTATTTTAAAGAGTTTTAATAAAACTCTTGTCAAGAATTATATTATCTTCAATACAATTTTAATTACATTTTCTCGAAAGAATTCAATCATTAAAAAAAATATTGATAAAATTCTTGAAATAAATTAAATTATTTTCAAATTTTTTAATAAATACTTTGCAAGAATTCAACTATTTTCAGTAGATTAATAGTTGATTACTTACATTAATTAATAAATTTATTTGTTTATTTATTTCATTTGAATTCAATGTTTTTCGCATATGAACTTCAAAATTAGAAATTATTAGTATTTTAAAAATAAAAAATTGTGGAAAATATCCTTTTCTCAACTCTTTTGCCTTATTGGACCCAGATTTGATCCTTTTTTTAAATTATATTTATGAAAAAATATTCATATATTCCAATCATTATTATCTCTATGAGCAAGAAAAATGTTCATAAAATAAACTTAAAGTGAATTACAAAAAAGACATTTTAGCAGCAGTTCTAAATTTACTAATTAAATAGATGTAAATAATGAACGAAATTATTTTTATTATAGAATCGATTTATTATTAATGAATACTTACAAAAACATGTTGTGAAAGAATGTTAATAATTTTTCGTTCTTAGTATAGCTTAAATTACTTATTCGAATTATTAATAATAATTTTTTTTCCTAAAAAATGTTAACTTTCCATGTTATTGACTCCGACACGATTGAATAGTCTGTCTTTAATTATTTGAGCCATTAAACCGTGAATAACTTCAATTGTTGTTTTACAACTGTCGCGTGTCGCCTTTACAAGTTTCTCAACAGTGCTTCTATCGTGGGGCTCGATTCCACCAACAACGAATCCTCTTCCCAATGCAGCTTCCGATTGTTCCAATTTCTCCGACAAATCAAATATTTGTCCAGTTGTATAGTCGGCGTTGGTCAAAAGACTCGACGAACTTAATGTGTTGACCCAATATTTGTTCCATAAGGAATCCAATAATCTTCTATCTAGAGATGACTTGAAGTAAGTCACTTCTAGAGAATAGTATTGTTTACAGTGCACGCCAAAGTCTTCAATTTTGTTCAGTGGAATTGTTTGATACTCGGAAGGTTCCTCATTCGCTGGCTTGTAACCCTATCAAATGATAATTATTTTCATTGAATTAGTTTTGAAATTATTAATTAATTAATAATAATAAAGTTGAAATTATCGATCACTCCGAGTCAGGTTGAAAAAAAATATAACAAATTTTATATTTTTTTTATTTTACGTTTCAACGGCACAGCCGTCCTCATCAGAAACTAAAATTTTATTATAAACAATTATTAAATGAAATTACATAAACAAAACGAAAAATGTTTTACAAAATAAACAATACAAATAAAAAATACATAAATGAAAACAATTATTAAAATTTCTTTTACCAGTAAAAATATTTTTAAAAAGAATAAATAATATTAAACATCTGAAAATTTGTCGTTCCGATCAACGCAAATTGCTACTTGACACTAATCAAATATAAAACTATTACACAGTCTGTCAATGATAAATAATCGAAAGGTCATTAAACTAATTACAATAAGTAAAAATAAATAGGAAACATCACAGTACGATTAAACAGTGGAAATCAAAAATATTTCCTATCGTTAAGAAAATGTATATAACAATTACTAAGATTTTGAGTGTCATCCTTTTTGTTTATCGAATTCTTTTGCAAATTCATATGAATCATTTCAGAAATTAGGCGTTTGCTTTCATTAGTTTCTTTGTCAAGTATATGAAATCTTTCCCAGTCAAAATTATGATTAAGTGAACTTCTATGAGTTGCAGTGACACCGACTTTTGAATTTTTGTGTTCATTAATTCGTACCCCTACCATTCTTTTAGTTTCACCAACATACGATGCGGTACAATTTTTGCATTGAATTTTATAAACAACATTAGTTTTTTCGGATTTTATATTTTTATCCTTGCCTTTTTTTATTAAATTGTGACTAAAATCATGGTTATTAGTAGGAACAGATAAAATATTAAATTTTCTAAGCGTTTCGGACGTTCTCTCATATAAGTCTTGAACATAATTATGGTAAAAAAACTTTAGGTTGTCTACTATATAAAAATGAATTAACATTATTTTTTTGAGTATTAGATTCTATAGAATGAATACGTTTCAAAATGTACTTATTAATAAAATCAATAGGGTAGTTATTTCTTAAGAGAATTTTTTTTACATACTGAATGTTTTCAGAGTGGAATTTTTTATTAGATAATTTTAATGCTCTGTCAATTAAATTATAAACAATGGCAATTATAATTAATGAACACAAAAATTCAAAAGTCGGTGTCACTGCAACTCATAGAAGTTCACTTAATCATAATTTTGACTGGGAAAGATTTCATATACTTGACAAAGAAACTAATGAAAGCAAACGCCTAATTTCTGAAATGATTCATATTAATTTGCAAAAGAATTCGATAAACAAAAAGGATGACACTCAAAATCTTAGTAATTGTTATATACATTTTCTTAACGATAGGAAATATTTTTGATTTCCACTGTTTAATCGTACTGTGATGTTTCCTATTTATTTTTACTTATTGTAATTAGTTTAATGACCTTTCGATTATTTATCATTGACAGACTGTGTAATAGTTTTATATTTGATTAGTGTCAAGTAGCAATTTGCGTTGATCGGAACGACAAATTTTCAGATGTTTAATATTATTTATTATTTTTAAAAATATTTTACTGGTAAAAGAAATTTTAATAATTGTTTTCATTTATGTATTTTTTATTTGTATTGTTTATTTTGTAAAACATTTTTCGTTTTGTTTATGTAATTTCATTTAATAATTGTTTATAATAAAATTTTAGTTTCTGATGAGGACGGCTGTGCCGTTGAAACGTAAAATAAAAAAAATATAAAATTTGTTATGTTTTTTTTCAACCTGACTCGGAGTGATCGATAATTTCAACTTTATTATTATAAATTTGCCGAGTGATAGCTTCAATTATTATTTATTAATTAATTAATTAACTATATTAATTTTAATGTTCTTTCATTCTTTCATTCACTTTTGTGTCCCTCGCACTCTGAAGTTGTCTTTTGCTTATACTTTTGTTTTTTGTTACCTTTAGATAGAAAATAGAAATCATCAGAATTTTTTTTACTTCTTTTCATTAAAAGACTAAAATTTTGTTAAATATTATGTTTTGTCAAATTGTAATTATTTTTGTTCTTTACTTCTAAAAAAATTAGAAAATTATTAAACAACTGTGATTAAGAAATAGAAAATTTATTTATTTTCCATTATTTTCTTTTTGAATCACAATTTTTTTAAGAAAATTATTATTTTGTTTTAGAAAAAGAAGAAAAATATTTGCACAATTTATATTTTAATCTTATCTTTGGAACAGAATTTTCCACAGGAATTAAGACATTCAAAAATTCAAAATTCAAACCTTTTTTAAATTAAACAACTTATAAAAGTATTGTTTATAAAACATGAAGATATCAATTGCTCCGAGTCGAAGACTCGGAGTGATCCATTTCTTCATGTTTTCTAACAAATTAAAGATGACCGAGAGATAAAATCATTATTTTACATTATAAGAATATTGTTACTGTAACTTCATCTAAATTATTTTCATCGTTTTAATTAAATTATTTTTTTCTAGAATTTTAAATTATTTTTTATGAAAATAATAATTGAATTCCTTAAAAAATTTTATTATTTATGAAAATAATTGAATTCCTTGTGAAATTTTAATTATTTTATGAATATAATTAAATGTTTGCGTAGAATTTCAATAAAATTTTTTATAATTGAATTCTTTTGAAAAATTTTAGTAGATATTATAAAAATCATTGAATTGAGGAAAATTTTTGAAAATAATTGAAATTTTTGCCGAGAATTTTTTCAAAATTTTCTAAAATAATTGAATTGATTCGAAGAATTTTATCAAACTTTTTTAAAATAATTGAATTTTTGCAACGAATTTTATTAAAATTTTCAATAATAATTGAATTCTTATGAAGAACTTTTATTAATTTTTTTATTAATTAATTGAATTATTGCGAAAAAATTTATAAAACATTTGCAAATAACTGAATTCTTGCAAAGAATTTTATCAAATAATTTGATAATAATTGAATTTCTTCGAAGAATTTTATTGTTTATGAAAACAAGTGAATTATTGCGAAAAAAATTGCAAATCATTGAATTCTTGCAAAGAATTTTGTCAAAAAATTTGATAATAATTGAATTTCTTCGAAGAATTTTATTGTTTATGAAAATAATTGAATTTAGGAAGAATTTTATTAAAATTTTACATAATCTTAATTAAATTCTTATGAAGAATTTCTTTGAGTTTCTTTAAAATAATGGACTTTCTTTAATCATTTTAATTACAAGTTTTCAAAGTAATTGAATTCTATATGAATAATTTCTTTCAAGATTTTATAATAATTCTCTTTCTTAATAATTGAAATTAAGCATTTAATTCTTGCATTTTATTAAAAGTTTTTGGAAAATAATTGAATTTTTTTGAAAAATTTCTTTAATTTATTGAATACAATCGAATTTTTTAATAATTGTATTAAAAATCATTGAATACCTGAGAAGAATATTATTATTTATGAAAAATACTTTAATTCTTGCGATGAATTTTAATAATATGTTTCTTTTTAAATAATTGAATTCTTTTGTGAATTTTTATTGAAATAGTAGATATTAAAAATAATTGAATTTTGATATTATTGAAATTTAATTTAATTCTACGAAGAATAATTAAAAATAATTAATTTTAATAAAAATTTTAAGAATAATTACATTTTTCGAGAAATTCCATTAACATTGTACCAAAAATAATTGAAATTCTGCGATGATTTTTATTATTTATGAAAATAATTCAAAACCTACATACCTATAGAATTTTATTATTTATGAAAATAATTGCGAAGAAATTTATAAAAAATTTGTAAATAATAGAATTCCTCTGAAATTTTTATTATTTAATTCATTCATTCAAAATTGTCATTTTCTAAAATTTCAAATTAAATTTTTTTTAAATAATTGAATTCGTTTTGGGAAATATTTTATAAAAATCGTAGGCATTGAAAATCATTAAAATTAGAAAAATTTCTGAAAATAATTGAACTTTGGAGAAGAATTTTGTTATTTATAAAGATAATTGGTATTTTTACGAGAATTTTTTTCAAGATTTGAACATAGTTGAATTTAATAAGAAGAATTTTTGCAATTATTTTTAAATTCTACAAAATTGAATTTTTTTAGTATTTTCAACAAAAATTTAAATTAGAAAATTTTTAAATTTTATTATTTTTAAAATTGCTAATTTTATTTAAAAAAGGTAGTAAGAAGTTAGCCGCGCGATTTGCTGCTAGTATTTAAGTAAAATTATACATTTAATAATTTATAAGTTATTATTTTATGAAAGTTGTTCAATATTAAAACTGTATATTCCAATTCACATATTTTTTATTTTTAAAATTTCTAATTTTATTTTTAAAAAAGTAAGCGAGAATCTTAAAAAATTATGATAAAACAATTCGAAGAATTAGTTGTTTTATAAATATTGTAATGTAATTTTTCAAAAATAATTGAATTTCTATAATGAATTTTTGTATAATTTAAAAAAAATTAATTTTTTTGAAGAATTTTGAACATGATTTTTTTCTCCAAAATATTAAAAATCGCATTATTTGAAAATAGTCGAAAAAGTAATAATATCCGAGGCCTGAATTAAGCATAAATTTTCTTTACCTTTGGGTAAGTTCGAAATGCACCCAAACAAACTTTTCCAGCAGATATAGTTCTTACAGGATCAATGACAATGGCAACGAAAGGCTCCTGGAAATTTTGATTCAACATTTGTGTGGAAACGTCAATTCCTGAAAGCCAACAACCATATCCTGGATGACTGTGGTACCAACCAATTGCATTTTCTTGCCTACCCACCTGGAAACATTTTTTTTATTAAAATATATTATTAGATCTTAGTTTTTACAAAGATTCTTTCGTGAGAATCATTTGCACTCTTTATTGATAATGAAATAAAAATTATTGAAAATCCACACTGAAAATGCCTCCAAATATGTATTCGTTGGTCATTCTGAGTTTTTAAAATTTTTCCAGTGTAGAAATGATGTATAAATAAAGAGTCGCATGACAAAAAGGATAAAGCGCCAATTTCATGTTTTTACACTAAATGAAAAAAACATATTGAAAATGTCTCTGGTTATTTAAAAAAAAATTTAAAATTTATATATTCATAAAATATTCTTTTGATTCATAAATATAACTTTTAAACTATAAAATATAGTATGGTTCTTTCTAATTAAAAGTCTCCATTTCAAAAAATTGACGATTGACCCCCTTTGTGATCCTACTTTTCAAATAAAAATGTGAATAACTTGTTTTGCAGCTTCAATGTATGCTGTCATGTACTCGTATGCTTGAGCTTGAGCATTGACCCTGGTCTCTGTTCCTTCAACGGGCAGAGCAAATGAATCCATTACAACCATTGTGTTAGCTGCTACTTTGCCAAGCAAAAGTCCCATGACTTCCAAAGTCCCACCGGAACGAGCGTGCATTACCATTTTCAGTAGTGCAAGGGCAGAAATTTTTATATCCTTAAAAAAGTGTGGACTGAAAAAGAAAAAGTGATTAACATTTTGTTTAAAGAGCTAAAAAATTAGATAGTAGTAGAAAGAACTTAATGTATGAATAGTCAATTAAGGGGGCAACGATTTCTCAAAAACTACTGCAAAAATTCAGCTCAAAATTGGTGAGCTTCTTTAGTACATAAAAATCTAGTCCTTAATCCAGGGTGGTCACAAGTTTCAGTTGATCACTTTCTCTGATATTTCCCTGACAATTTACTGACATTAAAATTATTTTCCCTCCCAAAATTCTTTTCACAGGAAAATAAGAAAATTTACGGAAAATGAGTAAAATTTGTGAAATTTAATAATTTCTACAAATTACAACTATGTATATCCTTTCCTGAATTCAATTATTTTCTATAATTTTCTAAACAATTCAATTATTTTTTTAAATACAGGGCTAGGATTGTGCGACTTTTCCGACTTTTTTCGACTTTTCTAAGGAAATGTGCCTTTTGTTTGACTTTTTTGTGAAAAAATTCGACTAATCGACGTTTTCGAGATTTTTTTAGTAAAATGCGACAGAAATTAAAAAAAAAATTTTTAATTTAAAGAAAAAAGTTTGAGTCAAAATAATGTTCTGTTACATTTATTTACAAATTTCTTTCAAATTTTTTGAAAACATCAATAATTTCTTTTTTAAATAAATATTTAATTATTATTTTTCCATAGGAATTAAATTTTTTCAAAAGATTCAAATTCAAACCTATTTGAAATTAAACAACTTATAAAAAATTGTTATAAAACATGACCGAGTGATAAAATCATTATATTTTATATTAATATTATATAAGACTTTATAAAAAAAAATTTTTAATTATTTTTATGAAAATATATGAATTATTCGGAAAAAGTTTATAAAACATTAGTAAGTAATTGAATTTTGCAAAAGAATTTTGATATTTACAAAGATAATTGAAATTTTTAGGAGAATTTAAAAAAAAATTAGAAAATAATTTAATTTCTGATAAGAATTTTCTTACTTTTTGAAGATAATTGAATTTTGCAAAGAATTTTAACAGAACTTTTGAAAATAATTAAATTTCCAGGATGAATTTATTATTTATGAAAATAATTAAAATTTTGACGAGAAATTTAAAAAAAAATTAAAAATATTTGAATTTTATTATTTATAAAGATAATTAAAATTTTGACCAGAAATTAAAAAAAAAATTAAAAATAATTGAATTTCTAGGATGAATTATTTATAAAGATAATTGAAATTTTAACAAGAATTTTTAAAAAATTTTTGTAAATAATTGAATTTCAGAGAAGAATTTTATTACTCTCAAAGATAATTGAAATTTTGAACAGATTGTTTAAAAAATGTTTAAAAGTAGTTGAATTTTGGTATTTATAAAAATAATAGAAATTTTAAAAATAATTTAATTTCTGCCAAGAATTTTATTACTTTTGAAAATAATTGAATTTCTATAGGATGAATTTTATTAAAATTCTTTGCAAATAATTGAATTTCAGAGAAGAATTTTATTATTCACAAAGATAATTAAAATTTTGAACAGATTTTTTTTTAAAATGTTTAAAAGAAATTGAATTTTGCAGAAGAATTTTGATATTTATGAACATAATTGAAATTTTGAGGAGAATTTAAAAAAAAAATTTTGAAAATAATTGAATTTCTGTAAAGAACTTTCTTACTTTTTAAGATAATTAAATTTTGCAAAGAATTTTATCAGAACTTTTGAAAATAATTAAATTTTTATGATGAATTTTATTATTTATAAAATTTTGAATATTATTAAATTTCTGCGAAGAATTTTATTATTTATAAAAATAATTGACATTTTAAAGAGAATTTTTTAAAAAATGTTAATAATACCTACATAGGGTCAATTGGGGTAAATGTGAACGGAATATCTATTTTTCACGAAAAACATTAGTTCTTTTTGTTAAAATGTAAAACGGACGGATTTCTTTTGCATGAACTTGTTACTTTACTTCCCTAGAAAAGTTTGATGAGGTACAAAAAAATATTGATGCACCGGAATCGCCTAAAACTGACTGTTTACATTTACCCCGAGATTTTGAAATTTTCCTAAAATTCGGGGTAAATGTAAACACCACTGTAGTTAAGCGAGGTTTAAGAAACAAGTTATTTCAAGTATACTACTGTTCTAAGGGATGGAAAACCTGAAAAAAAATTCTTCGTAGATGTATAGTAAATCAACCAGTTGACTGATAATGTATCATATAAAATAAACAATCAACCATTACAAAATTAGTAATGTAAAAACTTGAATAACTTGAACAAATTTTAATAGATTTTCATTCAACTTGGTAAAAAGAAGTTTTTAAGGTTGCTGAATAAAAATCTAAAATCGAATTTTTAAATTTTAAAATGGTGGATCCAATATGGCGGATGAACCTAAAAATAATATTTTTAAAAATTGATCAAATTTGTTTGAATCTGGTTACTAGGGGGTTTTTGAGGTCGCTGAATACGAATTTGAAGTCAAATTTTAAATTTTCAAAATGGCGGATGAACCTAAAAATATTTTTAAAAATTGATCAAATTTTCAAAAAAAAAATTTTTTTTCAAAGAGGACCTAATTTCCTTTTCTATGTAATATTTACATTGCCAAATTAATGAAATTGTGAAATAGAAGCAAATTTATTCAATTATTTTCTTTTAAAATGTAGTTCAAGTTCTGTTTACATTTACCCCGAGTTTTCGAATTCTCGGGGTAAATGTAAACACTTAATTATTTATTAACTAAATTGACGAAAATCAGAAATCAAAGTCAATTTTTGTTAGGGCATTAATAAGGAAGAATTACATATTTTTGTTTGATTTTTAAATTTATTTTTATGCAAATGCGAGACAAAATACTGAAACAGTAAAATTTTGATTTTCAATCTTTTTTGCATTAAAAAATAACTTACACTATGGCATTGCCAATTGTCAAAATAAAATATTGGCAATACTCAGAACATCTTGTAGGTGAGCTGAGGTAAAAATATTGACGTCGTACTTATTTTTAAATTTGTAAATTTAGCTGAAACATCTACTGTTTACATTTACCCCAAATGACCCTAATTAAAATTTTGCTATGAATTTTATACAATTTTTTTAAATTTTATTCCGGATTGTTTGATATTAATGTATCTGTTGTCGAGAAATGCGATTTTTTTTTACAATTTTGACAATTTAGTGTTTTCTTTCTGTCGATTTTTTGATTTTTTCTAAGATATCATGCGACTTTTTTTCGACTTTTTCGGAAATTTTATGCGACTTTTCGTGACTTTTGTTGAAAATTTATGCGACTAAAGCGACTTTTTTTGAGTCTTAAAGACGATCCGAGCCCTATAAATAGTAAAATCTTTACAAAAACTCAATGATTTTCAAAACAATTTTAATTGAATTCCTCAAAAGAATTCAATTTTTTTTAAATTTTAACACATTTCGAAAAAATTTAATTTTGTTCTAAAATTTTAATAAGTCCTTCGAAAAAATTCAATTATTTTTTTAAATATAGTAAACTCGTTGCAAAAATTCAATTAATTTTATAAATAGTAAAATTCTTTGCAGGAATTCAATTATTTTCAAAACAATTTTAATTGAATTCCTCGAATGAATTCAAATATTTTTTACTATTTCCATAAATTTCAATTCTTTCCTAATATTTTAATAAATTCTTCGACACAATTCAACTATTTTTATATATATACTAAAATTCTTTGCAGGAATTAAATTATTTTTAATCCAATTTGAATAAAATTACACAAAAAAAATTTAATTATTTTCAAAAATTTCCATAAAAAATTCACTTTCAACAAGAATTTAACATTCTCTAAAAATAATTCAATTATTTTCAAAATATTTTTAAAAAATTCTATATAAAAATTAAATTACATTCAATCCAATTTTTAAATATAAGTCAAAAAAATTGAAAGAATTCAATTATTATCAAAAAATAATAAAATTCTTGTAATGAATTCAATTATTTTGAATATACATACTTAATTTTAATAAAATTCTTTAAAGAAATTCAATTATTTGAGAAATAACTTTAATTGAATTTCTCGAAAAAATTTCATTATTTTCAAATATTTCTATAAAATTCTTCATAATAATTTAATTATGTCTTAAAATTTTAATAAATTCTTCGAAACATTTAAATTATTTTTATAAATAGTAAAATTCTTCGCAATAATTCAATTATATTTATAAATAGTAAAATCCTTTGCAGAAATTCAATTCTTTTCAAAACAATTTTAATAGAATTCCTCGAAAGAATTTATATTTTCAAATATTAACATAAAATTAATTTATTTACATGAAGAATTTAAAAAATATTTATATACATGAAGAACAATAAAAAAAAAAAAAAAAAAAAAAGTAGTAAAATTCTTTGCAAGAAATCAATTACTTTCAATACAATTCCAATAAAATTCTTTTTCATAAAATCCAATTGCTTTCAAAATTTTTAATTAAAATTATTAAAAACTCAATTAGTTTAAAAAAAATCAAAGAAATTCTTCAAAAGAATTTAATTAGGATTTTCAAAAATTTTAATAAAATTCTTCGCGAGAATTCAGTTATTTTCCTAAATAATGAAATTCGTTGAAGGAATTCTAATATTATCAAATTTTTTGATAAAATTCTTTGCAACAATTCGATGATTTTCAATACATTAATTTTAAAATTGAAAATATTTGAAAAGAAAAATTATAAAAAAGTTAAGAAACAAAAAAGCAAACAACAACTTCAAGAATTCTTCAAGAATTAAATTATTTAAATACGAAAATTCAATTTTTTATAATAATTGAACTGTCCATGTTTTTTTCTTAAGTTTACTAAGGTAGGTATAGTATTTTCAAAAAATGAAAATAATCAAATTTTAAAAGAATTTTAATTATAAATATGACCATGATTTCTCCGAAATTTTAATAAATCCAAAAAAGTAAATTTTTATTTGCCTTATTCGATAAGATAACTAAATATTAAAAAATTATGTTAAAAAAAATTCTAAGAATTAAGTAGTTTTTAAAAATATTTTATAATGTAATTTTTCAAAAACAATTGAATTTCTTAAAAGAGTTTTTGTATTATTTAAAAAAAAGAATTAATTTTTTGATGAATTTTAATTAAATATTTTGAACATGATTTAAAATGTTAAAAATAATTCTAAAATGACTATTATTTTTTTTGTATGTATTTTAATTTTCGGAAAGATGTAATTGAAATTACTGAAAATACTAAATTTAAGTTCAAAGAATTTTCATTAAAATTTTTGATAATTTGCAATTAAAATTCTTCAAAAGTTGATTTTAAAAAATTCTAACAAAATACTTTAAAAAAATTAATTATTTTCAATTATTAAATTTTACCAAAATTTCAATTATTTAAAATCTTTTTAAAATTTAAATAGAAAAATAATTCAAAAATAATTTTTGAAAAATTTGTTTATAGTTATTTTTCGCACTATAAAAATTGAAATGAGTTACATTTAATAGTAAAAAATATGATATTTTGTTGCAATATTTGTAAGAAAAGTCGAAGAAGTCGCAACTTTTGATAATAAGTCGAAAAAATCTCAATTTTCTAAATTTCCCTGACTATTTTTTTGAGACATTTTCGAAAAATTTTTAAATAATCGAAAGTCTATAAAAATAAACACAAAACTTTCGTTTTTACCAAATTTTGACCACTTTAAAATAAAATTATTAAACGAGGTAATATTTTTTTTCTTGCAAAACATTTTTAATCTAAAAACATATAAGATGGTCAAAAAATTTAATTTATGTTTCCATAGGAATTAAGATTTTCAAAAATTTCAAATTAAAATTAAATTTAAACTGTCAAAAACTAAAAAACTAATAGCAATGCAAAAATGACAAATTTCAATTTTTTGATAGAATGAATGAATGACGGAACAAAACGATAATTGTTTAAAAAGAATGATAATGAAAAAAACTCACTCTTTTTCCCAGGGTTTAGCGGCAAGAATATCTTGTTGTTCTTTTCGATCATATCTGTAAATCTCATCCACAGTGCTAATAGTTTCAACATTATTTGTCATTTCCCATGTTTTTTGAGCGGTTATGGATTGATCGCTTGAAGTACCAGCCATTTTAGAAAAATTCTCTACCAATTTAAATGCTCTGAAATTGCAAAAGTTAAAAGTCTATTAAATCTTATTTTTTTTAACCATTTACGTTTATAAATCGAAATTCATAATTGTGACAGAATGTACACAATATTAATCCATTAAGGAAGAAAAATTGTTGAAATATTTAAAAGAAAGTGAATTTAATTGTAGGTTTAAAAGATAAGTACATTAATATATATATATAAATCAGCAGATATGGACAAATTATATATTCATATATATTATTATATTTAAAAAAAATATATGATTTTAACAAAACACTATAACAACATTCAGAATACAATGAATACGATTCGTACTTAACCAAAAATTATTGAAAGTTTAATGGTGCGTCTCCAATAGGAATGTAAAGGCCTTTTCTCAATAATAATCTAAATCAGGCTGGAGTCCCATGGCAGCGTTTTGCGTTGCGTTTTGTAACTAGGCCATGAGTGTGAGAGAGATCGAGATATATGTTTGCTGTATTTGCACTCATGGCCTAGTTACAAAACGCAACGCAAAACGGTACCATGGACCATGGGACCTGAGGGTACAGTCACACGATCAATGCATCTGCATGATGCATGCATGTACAAACATTTGAGGCTGGAGTCCCATGGTAGCGTTTTGCGTTGCGTTTTGTAACTAGACAATGAGTGCAAATAGAGCAAACCTATATCTGTATCTCTCTCACACTCATGGCCTAGTTACAAAACGCAACGCAAAACGCTGTCATGGGACTCCACCCTGACTGTTCACACCTCAATTTTTCGCTCTCGAAAAATCATTTTTCTGGCGGGATATTTAAAATTGATTAAAATTTAAAAATAACGTATTACTATAATTATTACAATAAAAAATAAAAAAATTGAACGTTTATTATAAGGAATTAATTGTAAATAAATTTCTTTTAATTAGTGGCATATTTTAAATTATAAAAATTCACAATATTAAAATATGCCACAAATTAAGAGAAATTTATTTACAATTAATTCCTTATAATAAACGTTCAATTTTTTTTATTTTTTATTGTAAAAATTAGTAATACGTTATTTTTAAATTTTAATCAATTTTAAATATCCCGCCAGAAAAATGATTTTTCGAGAGCGAAAAATTGAGGTGTGAACAGTCAAATGTTTGTGCATGCATGCATCATGCAGATGCATTGATCGTGTGACTGTACCCTCAGGGTTGTGCAGGAGTTACCGCCTGGAAAGAGCGGGGTGCGACCGAGACCATAGAGATATTATAAATAGAGTGGGAAAGGTATAGGCGGCAGCGTGTGGGGGAAGTGTCCTGCCATAAACAGAATGGGTTGGAGGGAGAAAGAAGATTTAACACCAGTATCTGTCCTTCAATGAGCTCCAGCGCAAGAGAGACACCTACTGGTGCTTAATCTTCTTTCTCTTTCTATCAAGCGGACGCATACATGCAAACCATCCCCACTCTATTTATATTATCTCTATGACCGAGACGCATGTGTCACGTCCCAGGTTAGGTACAATTTAATTTTAAGAGAGGGCGAACTTGTTCTTGCTTTGACTACTGTTACGTGCGGAGTTACGTTATTTACGCGCAGGCGTAAGATCCGCGATTTCATTCGATGTTCAATCTTGGTTTAATCCTTTGAAAAGGAAGGCGGAAATATTCAATTAAAACAAGTTAATTTCCGTTAAAACGGAGGGAAAAACCTCACGATTAAGAAGGATCAATTAATAATTAATAATATTAATTAATCATTAATCCAACTAAATTCGCGAGTAAACCCAATACATTTATTAAAGTCAAAACATTACACAAGTCGACGTTATTCTTAAACTATTTTTGGGACTACTCTGAAGTACATTACGAAAGAACTCCAAAGTAGAACTGAATTCGTGAGGGAGCATTTATCCCTTGGTCCATGGCAGAATCTTTGCGCATGCCCTGTTATAGAGTTTGTAAAGTCTATGAAGTTTTTAGAATCACAACACTAACACTGCACTGCACTAATACACGTATAAACATACTCTATGTATTGAAAACATGTATCACAACAAGAGAACATAACCCTTTTGCATTCACACTAATTACACAATTATTAATTATTTACATCATATCTAGTAACAATAAATCTCTTATACTGCACTCATCATATTTAGATATAAACAACAATTATAACGATAACCAATTTGATAATGTATCATAATATAATATTATTATTATATTAATACGTTACAAATATATACATAAATATATATATATATATATTTGTATATATCCTATACCATAATATTACAACAATCAATCAGATAAAGTTTACTAATAATATCATTTTCAAATAATACATTCATGCTGCACTATTAGCAACAATATAATATTGTTGTTAATTGTTCATAACGTTCATATTATACAATTGATAATTAAGTTTCGTCGCATAATGAAAGTCTATGTGTACACGGAAAGAAAAAGTCCGTCAACCATTAATGGATTAGTATATTACTTTGAGACGGGACACTTTTTCCGTTGATGGTTACTTAACTTTACTTAACGATTGAAAACGAGTCATGGATTGATTAGAATGCCAGTATGTGACCAATTGTTTTAGATTTAATGCTGAATTGTTATCAATGGCTGTTTGAATGTTTACGAATCATTAGTGAAAGTTTGTGAAACGTTAGTTGACTCGTATTCTAAATCGGCGCTCTTCACTAGCGCATTGTTGCGCAGTGTACCGATGCGCATTTCTTCCGGTTTCTCTATAGTCCATGTGTTTTTGCTGTCTGCTATACATATCCCTATATACTATTATGTGTAATGTGAATATTTAACTTAACTAACAATTTGCAGTTGAATTGCGTCTAGAAATTGACCTCGATGAAAATATATTTTCTTTTATATTTCTCGCTAATTAAAAAGTAGTTATTAGTGCAAAATCATTTCTCACAAGTTGTGAAAAATTTTGTTATTTGGTATATAAGAACAGTTTGCTTCTAAACTTAAAGTGTTATAAGTGTGCGTTTCTACGTGCAGTTATTATAAGTGCGAAAATGTGTTGGAAAATGTGTTGGTCTAAAGCGTCTAAGAGTGTAAATAAAATATCGGAACTGTGCAACGAAAAAAATGTGTTCATTCTGTACCAAATAGTGTCTAAAATTAGGGATAATTCTGAAAGAAGTTGAATTTTTTGAATGCTTTTAATAGTCATAGAAAATTTAATAGACAGTTTTCTAAATTTTAGTGAACGAGTTTTATATATTGATGACAGTTTTCTAAATTTTAGCAAGCAACTCGTCACTGATTGTGACTCAAAGTATGTTATCCATTGAATGATTTTGTGTCCCGTCTCAAAGTAATATACTAGTCTATTAATGATTGACGGACTTTTTCTTTCCGTGTACGTGACTTTTCGAAGTCATTTCTGTGGTCACAAGTATGGTAAACACATGTTGCATTGTCCTATGGAAAAGGACACTTGAGATATTTTTTATATTCTTTCAAGAATTTCTCGGTTTTATGACTACTCTAAAGAAACTAGAGATTACATTTTCTTTCGCTATTCCACTTGATTTATGACAATTCTAAGAAATGTTGATTTTCAAATACATTTTTGGAATTTGGAAACTATTAAACCGTAAAGTATTATATTTTACAATAGTCAAACTTTCTTGTTTAGTCTCGTCAATATTTGTCAAAAGTCGTAAGAAAATCCTAAAATAACCCTCACAGCACCGGGATATTCAGGATATCCCAGAGACGTCCTGGGCATATCGATTTGTTTTCGGAAGTTTGGATATCTCTGGGATATCCTAGGGACGTCCATGGATATCCAGAGGATAATCCAGGGATATCCAAACTTCCGAAAACAAATCGATATCCCCAGGACGTCTCTGGGATATCCTGAATATCCCAGTGCTGTGAGGGAATTAGATTATTAACGAAATTTTATTGTTTCGCGCTTCGATAACTCGTTAATCGATATATCGAAAAGTTAACGAGCGAGATGGCAGTCGCTCGTCACACTACTGAAGTAGTCACCTGGCAGGTAGGAAGTTTGGCGGTTGAATTCAAACAATAAAATATATTTCACTCAGTTTTTATTTAAAAAGAAGGTAAATTGTTTAATTATAAATTAACAGTCTTGATTAAGTCCTTTAATTTTAACAATATTGAACTTATAATTTCTTTCACAAGAAATACGTCTGATTAGAAGAAGAGAAAGAATTGATCTGCTTTGGCCTTCAAAAGCCACTTGAAACCTTTGCTGAACTCCCCCTCTAAGGCCCTTCTAAGAGAAAGTGGGGATAAAACAACGTGCGCATTTTCTAGTCCACTCTCAAAAGATTTACATACTAAGAAAAGATAGAAACTGAATTTTCTGTTGCATTCTATTTTTAGAATCTTTGGTCAGGCGACTTAAAATGAATCCTTTGTATATCTCAAGTTTATGTTTACTTCAAAATTTTAGAGTTGTTTAATAGAAAGAGGCTTCAAGAGTTCTTTGAAATTCAAAAGCCACTTGAAACCTTTGCTGAACTCCCTCTCTAAGGCCCTTCTAAGAGAAAGTGGGGATAAAACAACGTGCGCATTTTCTAGTCCACTCTCAAAAGATTTACATACTAAGAAAAGATAGAAACTGAATTTTCTGTTGCATTCTATTTTTAGAATCTTTGGTCAGGCGACTTAAAATGAATCCTTTGTATATCTCAAGTTTATGTTTACTTCAAAATTTTAGAGTTGTTTAATAGAAAGAGGCTTCAAGAGTTCTTTGAAATTGTATAATATTATTTTATGTTTGAGATATAATTTCATTTGTAATTGGAGTTTAGTTTAAATAATGGAATTTAAATAATATAAATAGTGAAAATAAAGAATGTAATAAATTATAATTTATAATTGTATTTTTGCAAAATATGATTAATTATTAATTATTTATATTTGATTTTGAATCTTCCCGCGTTTTACCATTAGGGTAGAGTTCTCAGCAAAGTTTTCGTATTTCTGTTGTTAGAATATGAAAGTGGCGTTTTTTACATTGTTAAATTCGACGATAACGTCACACATGCATATCCCCTAAAGCTGAGTCTCCAATAGGTGCCAATGTAGGTGCAAGTGCCAGTGCCAATCCCCAATACATTTTAAATGGGTTTAGCACTGGCACTGGCACTTGCACATGCATATTGGCACCTATTGGAGACTCAGCTTAAAGGTGCTTCTATACCTCCGGTGGATTCATAGAGGTAATATAAATAGAGTGGGGATGGTTTGCATGTATGCGTCCGCTTGATAGAAAGAGAAAGAAGATTTAGCACCAGTAGGTGTCTCTCTTGCGCTGGAGCTCATTG